AATTACGATCACAAGCTTAGCAACGAACCTTGAAAAAACGGATCGAAATCCACCAATCACAAATCAGAAACCATGACTTTTTGAACCTGTTAAAGTAAAGTATTGTTTCCTAATAGGTCAGTTAAGATGATTGACGGCATAAAAAAAATGCAACCATCAGTTGGCTTTTCAACTTCAGAATTCGCATGTTTGTGAAAAGCGCAGTAAATGTCATGATGATACTTTGATGGGAGCTTTCCATTTGTTACTCCCGCCCTTTCCAAAAGTGGCAAGATTCCTACCCATGAAATCTTATTGCTACCCATAAGAGAAGAGTTAAAGGGTTTAGTTTCCACCTAACAAAACTTCCAAGGAATTGGCCACTTTTAGTTGGGGTGAGAATTCGGGTGAGAATTGGGGAGTTGGGGGAGGGGGGGGGAAGGAGGGGGGTGGGGGGTGGAGGGGTACTGCTGGGAATTCTTGGTGGATTTTTTGCTGCCCGGTTCTTCAAAATCTTGACCCTGTTTTCAGACCTTGCCTCCAAAATCCATACCTGTTTCAAGGCCTGGCCTTTAAGAAATTATGTCGTCACCACTTAGATTAGAATGTCAACAAAAAGATTTTTTTAAATCCATTTTGAATTTGCATATGACTCTTTCTTTCTAGAGGGAAGGGGGGATCTGGTCTCAAGTTTATGAACAACAATTTTGCGTTTCATGAGTCACGAAACAAGTGGTGTAATTATTGACCTTTGATCTTGGTCATGTGCTCGGGTGATCTCTGCGCGGCTATAAATTCCCTAGGGAAGCCAAGTGTAGGTGGGTCTGAGCGCACTAAAGTGTGAAGTTATGTGAAAAGACTCAAAAGTGAAGTTAAACTAAGCCACCAGATGATAGTTAAGGTCCTTTGGCCAAATTAACGATTTATTTTCATCAGTTGATCTTCAATGTACGTGTACACAGTCCAGAATTTTGGCACTTAATGTTGCACAGAGTGCACTTTAATCACAATATTATATTTTATTCACCTGAGAACAGTTTTTCAGTTTATCACGATTCACAAACACCAAATCATGAGATTGGGAGTCTTCTTGTGAGGCCGTGAGAAAAATGTAAAAAATTGCAAGACTCTCGGCAGAATTGGGAGAGTTGGCAGGTCTGTGCCTGACTGTGGTGTACCTTACAGAATGCTTTTCTCAATCCCCATGGACTGAGGTGCAGAGCAGGTTAATCTGGGGATAGAGAGAAGTCATTATATCACATTGCCATGGTAGCAGAATTAAATGGATCTCAACAAACTGTGGTCCTGAAATTATGGCAAAAAAGAAAAAAACGTTCATATGTATGTATGACTTTCCGGTACATGGTTGCTCTCAGAAACAAATCAGAAAACGTAAAATTGCCAGAGGACTCTGGTAGAAATCGCGGTCTGGAAATAATGGACCAGTTGTTTCAGTCTAATTTTTGGGGGAAAGCTGAGTCAAATTCTAACCTTATTCCTGAAAAACATAAGTTCGCTAAGGTCAGTGTGAAAGCCTTATAGCATTCTCAGTTGGCTCCTCTCCATCCCATGAATGTGGATAGTAAAAGAGAATCTTTTCATCACTGCCAAAAGAGCAACAAGAGAGTACAACAGAGACCACCAATAGGGTAAAGAATACGGTGACAAAAATAATGTGCCTTTTTGGTTTTATTTGATTCACATTTTGGAAATCTCCAGGTCCCAATCTCCAGTTTAATTTTGAGGCTTTGTTTTCAAACACTCCAGATTTGCATGGTTTAGGGGTTGGAAGGTCTGTGTCTCTGTCAAGAAAGAGTTCTAGAAATTTTGTTTCCATGGTAATGTGATGTTGCACTTCTCCTCTCTATTATGAAGTATTTTCTCTGATAAGTATAATTAGTAATTTACCGGCATTTAAGCTAGTCAAATCGTAGGATCAAAAGAATTGACAGAAGTTCGTTTCCCTGTTTGTTGGTTAAATAGTTTGGAATCAAAGCTAGCTATTTTTTTATTTAATCTAGCCCTGCTATGAAAATACCTGTTGTACACGTGCAAAAGTAGTCAAGATAATGGTTCATTGCCCCAACAATCCCCAATGAAGAAATGTTAATTCTCCATTCCTGTTGTTAGTTTAAAAAGCAGGCTGTATTAGGTCATTGTGGAAATAGGTAAATTCAAAAAGGAAAAATAGATTAAAAATCATGAATGTCTTTGTAACTAAGTTGAAACTTTGGGCAGAAATCATACCTTTTCTTGAATGGAATAACAAAGCAAAATCAGAAACACAACAGGGGATTAATAAGATCCCACATCCAATGGAGCTTAGGCAGGTATTATGATCGTCCCAAACAACCAACATTTTCTTGGTATGGGGGAGGAAGGTCATTTGACAGCTACAGCAACTAGTTCCATTGAAAAAAAAAAACGATAAATATGCATTAATAGTAAAATATCTAATTTAAATTAATATGTACATAGAATGAAAATTACATCCTTTATACTACTACATGAGAAATTTCTGCAATTTGATTGTCTTAGAGCAGTGGTATTTCAGCTTAATTTGAAATACCTACATGTGAAAATTACAAACCCTTTGTGGGTAGTAGTATAAACAAATAATAGCATGATTTGTACATGATATTTGGTATAAATACCACTCGTGATATTTCAAAATTGTCTCAAATTTGTTGTAGAACACAGTGGAATATTTTTTGATTCTTCTTTCGTGAAACTCATATCACATGATACTGTGAAACACCACCTCCCCCCTCCCTGCCAACAGACTTGATTACCAGCGGCTAATTGGGAAAGGAGCCTGCGCTTGTTCTACTCTCCAGGAGGGACAAGTCTGGGTCTGAGAGAGTGGCAGAAATCATACCTACCCTGCCCTCCTCCCCCCCAAAGAAAACAAAACAAAAACAAAAACAGAATACTGGGTCCCACTTGAGATGCATGTTACATAACCCTTAGGGGTTCCTGTTATTTTAAAGAAAAGTAGTCTATAATGCCACACAAATTTATTATTTAATATACTCTTTACGTGCTAGTGACAAGTTAAAAAAACTGCATAATATTACTTTGAAATTGTTGCAGACGATCTAACTTGGCAGTGCTAATACATCACAAAGAGATATCCCTACCCGTCCCACAGTAAACTACACAGCAGTTGTTCCCAGTTTCCTTTAAGCCAAGCAGGAGATCTGGGCCCAGTTGTTCGAAGGCCGATTAGCGCTTAACCTGAGGTTAAATTTAACCCGCTTTTCTTTTTCTCGTGTTTAAAAGCATTTTTTCGGATAATTTTCTGTTATTTTTAAAGCCTTTAATAATCAACTTGTAGACAAAAAGAATTAAAACTGTGATTTTTGAGCTTTCATATCTGAATTCAAATCTCACACTAACCCTGGGTTATCTTAACCAAGCTTTGAACAACTTGATCCAGAGGTGTAAAATAAGTGTGAGGAAGTAAAAAGGAGCAACTTTTTACCCCATGCCCTTGTGCATCTCTTTGAATGGGATGGAAATGAATACCATGCAGGCTGCTGGCGAGTCAGTAATCTTTGAGATGGGTACGAATATTTTCTAGAATAACCATATTTTATTTGAGAAAATAACACAAAGAGCAAAGCAATATGAATAAGAAGCCTAGCTACCAACAAGAAGTAATTTACTGTGTAGTCTTCTTTACAGTTATGAACAAGACATGCCTATTTAAAAAATATTTTATGTTTCTATGCTACAGCAGTTCTCACAAAAATAAAACATTATTGATATTCAAAGTAATCCTCTGACCACATGCACATTTAGAGAGGCATTTGGGTAACAAGAATTAACAAAAAGTTTCAAAAATTCTATTTTACCACTCAAATGGTGAAGTGCTTGCACAATTACATGTTCCTTTTGGCAGGTAGTGCTACTAGCACTTTACTCCTTTAAATTTAACTTACTAATGATAGTTGAGCTCTAAGAATCCAACAAACAATGAAAAACACAATAAATTATTATTGACACCAATCAGAGGAAAAGTCCAGTATGTTGACGCAGTATGCAGAAGGGGGGGCGGGGGTGAATTTCCACTTAATGGTACACAATTCAGTAAATGTCTGAGATGGTACAGAGGTTATGGTGATAGTGATTATTAAATATTTCATGTTCATGTCTAACCAAATGCATGAATTTTGAGTATACGTAAGAATACTTTCTGAGGTCTTAAGAAGCCTGGCTTCTATATGCCACCATCAACTTGTGACAGGAGTCTCCAAAACAATGGTTATTTAGTTAGTCAAACGACACTCCTCCTCAGATTGGACAACTCACTAAATATTGGCTGCACTGGACACTAACATAACACTGACTCTTCCAAATCGTATACCACAACATCAGTACACTTATAGTACAAAGTTTTAAATGTCGTTTATCTATCAGTCTATCTCTAGCCAAGAGTTTTAGTTGTGTAAGATTATTTTTAACCCTTCCTTGGGTTGAGGCAAAGCCAGAGAGGAATGATTCTGCACAATTTTTTAGAAAAGTCACTCTCAGGATCATGGCAGCATATAAAAAACCAGCTTTTCAATTCCAAAGAAGCATACAGCCACCAGAGGAAATCTGTTTGTGATGGAGGAGATAATTATAACAGCCTTGACTCTTGAAAACGTTTCACTTTACAGTTTTAGCCCCAGTTATTCAAAAGGTAGACAACGCTATCTACTCTATCCAGTAGATAACACAGTTGGTTTCCCTAATATCCAGTGCATAGTGATTTCTCCACTGGATATTGCTATCCAATGTTTGAATCACCAGGGCCAGATTATAATCTATGACTCAACCAGTTTAAAACATCTCTACGGGTTTGTGATAACATCAGTGAAAATTTACGTGGAAAGTTAGAATATCACCTAACTCTTAAAAAAAACAACTCAGAATTGGCCAAAATTTGAGAACTTTGAAAGCATTTAGTCATCAATGAAAGCTATAATTGTACTTGAGGTTACGTGACTTAATACTTTGATTATCCTTTTATCATGCAACGAACTCTTCATTCACAAAAGGATTACTGTACAACTTGAATTATTGCAATACACCAGACTCATGTGCAATGCCTACTAATTTGCTATTTTTTTAAAAAAAGTGGTAAAAATTTTGGGAAGGTAATAAGGGTAATGGATGGTGCTAGGAAGGATAAATGATGTGTAATTTTTCTTCCACACTCGCCTTTACGTGTTCTCTTTATATGTCCTAGGGCAACAGGAAATGATACTAGTCAAATACTCAAGCCTCCCTATGTAAAAACAACTTTTTAGCCTACAATCATAACATTCTGGAAGTAAACAGGACCGCTTTTAATTAATGCTGATGATTTCAAAAGGTTAAGTAACAAATTAGCACATTCATCCTACAACTGTCAATGCCCTCTCCACGGAGGTTTTTCTTGTTTGAGATCCCACCCCTTGCGCTCTTCATTATTTTTCACTTTTCTTCTTAAGATTGGATTTAGATACCCTACTAATGCCCACTCCTGCACAAATTCTTAATAAATTTTACAGGAGAAACAGAGATATTCCAGCAACAACATGTTGCTATACTGTTTCAGTGATGTCTCTTGAGAGAGAGCACTTGCACAATTTGAAATATAAGGAACGCATTGTATCATGTATTGCCATACAACTCCAGAAATAATAATATTGAAATGCAAATGTTGACATTTCAATGAAAACGTCTACACTTTTACAAGTACACTATTTTTAACCACTATGGTGAGCACGTTCCTTCATTTATCCCTTTCACTCTTAAGCATAATGGTGGTTAAAGGAAATTTCACAAAAAAATTTCAAATAATTTCTAAATCCTATCAAAAAAATTGCACTATGCAAACTTTCTGCCAAAGAGATTACATTTGAATGGTAACACCATAGGATTTCGTCCACAGATTCAGAAGTTAGAGTGACAAATAATCAAATAACTACGCGTTCAAATGATTTAAAGTTAGACAACTCTGAAGTTTGACCTCTAACATCTGGACTTGTTTTGTGCACACTTGGCAGTTTGGAGTGAGGTCCAATCCTTAACTCTTAAGAGGCAATGAGAACTCTCTACTTTACTGTCTATATAAAGAGAAATTATTGTACACATGTGCATAAAGGGTTGTTAAATTATTTTAACAATTAAATTTAATATGTTTAAATTTAAAAACATGTTTTGCATTAGTCTCTTCTTTGCATCTTCATGGACTTTTGACCCTCACGTCAAACAATACTACAGCAGCAACTTTGTTCATTAATTTTCTCTCGATTTCTTTGACCTGTTAATTGGCAAGAGAAAATGTAGCATTAGGAACTATTTTATTTATGTGAAACCTAACTTAAAGATACCCCACAACACATGGAGTCATTGATAGAGACCTGATCTAGGTTAATCAAAGGCATCAACAGGGCTGCCACTAAGGGCAAGGGTTGGGGGGAAGGGATTTTCCCTGGCTACTATGAGCATAACCCCCATTAATTTTGTAGGAAACAGGGGGAAAATAGAACCAAAAGAACTTCCTAGCTGTACAATATCATTCTCCACCAACTAATTGCATTTACCCAGCAACTTAACATCTTAAGTGTTAGCCCTGTTTCAATAAAAATAATCTCAAGTAGGCAACTGGTTTGACTAGAGTTACCAACTGTATCCTCAAAGTTTGAGATAATCACTTCAACTTATGGAAGAGAGAAGCTGACTTCTCTAAGTGAAGCAGCCAATGGTTTTTGCCAGCCAACAGTGATTATTGAAACCCCTGAGACTTTAAATGTGCTTTTGTTCCTACCTTGAGTGGCGGGTTCTGGTAAGTTTTCTCTCGCTACAAGATGCATTACACTTCGCTTGCCAGTCTCTAAATGGAGAGCTAAGAACAAAGTAACTTGCAGTCAATGTTCAGTTCATGAGAATCCATAACTATGAATAGCTTATAAAAACACTTGCCTGCTAAAGAAACATTGCCATGTAGAAACCGACCATGGTAGATAAGTTTTAGTATATTATGGGAACTAACTGCTTCATCTTTCCAATCTAAGGGAAAAACAAACAAGCAGACAAAACAAATAAAATTATTTACTTCATAGTCACAAACAGATCAGTTTTATGCTCACTGAACACAAGATCAACCATTAAACTAATAAAAAATAACAGGTTTTGTAAACGAAGAGATAAATAAAAATTTAATCTCTTCATTAATAAAATTATAGTGATTCAAAAGCAGCCATATGCAGAGTTAGCCCTTTACAATGTAGAAAATCTTGATTTAAAAGGAAAACATTTAAACATCAGCTGCTTAAGCTCTGAACAATGGCCATTCAGAAAAAAATAAAATTTTATAGTTAATGTGCATTAACAAAGTAATTAAAGAAATTAAAAGTCAACATAACGTGTGTCTGACAACTTTTCTGTTTTGTCTGGCCAAAACAATGATCTGGTGACACATGTGACCCTTCCAAAAGGGGAAATGTAGGCTTGTGCCAGAAACCCTTTCTATGTCATGTTTTTCAATTGCACTGGCTTGTCCAAGCACTAGAGTTGTGTATTCTGCACATTACTGCAAAACTCACTTATGAAAACAATCAGCTACGTACCTTCAGGCCAGTTTTCATAAACATGTTGTGTTATATAATATACTGTGTCACTAGGTGAAAATATAAATTCATGTGTCTTGCCAGAGACCAGAATTAATCGCAGACATATCTGAAAAAAAAAAAATTGAGGAACAGAATGATGATTATAGCCTGGAAAACATGGACAATGTTTATTATTTCCTCAGAGGTAACTAGGAGAATAATTCTAAAAATTCAGCGCTAATTTTAAGTGCCAACATTAGATTGTGGCTATGAAGTCGCAAACATATTAACGTCTTATCAGCGAAGTCCCACAGAACATTGAACAGCTGACACATTAAATGCTAGTTCTTTATATGAGAGTAAATACATAAGGCCAAGTATTTTTAGAAAGTTTTGGTCAATTCAAGAGTAGTGCTGATAAGAAGGAATTTCTTTTTTGGGGGGTGAAGGATGCAGCATTGTGGTTTTCTGTTTTGGAGTTCAATCCTTTTTTGAAAGCAGTTTGAGTTTACTTGAAATTTATTGATTTTGAGGATTTTTGTTTCAGTGTCTTAATCCCTTGCCTACCAGAGCCAAATACACCCAGCAACTGGCCAGACCTTTCTCAGCTATGGGAGTTCATTTATCCAGGCAACTCAAACGACTGGACTTTTGGTGATTTCATTTGTCTAAAGACCTATATATACCTCCTGGAATGCTGAATGACCTCACACAGGATGTGTACATCAGTCCTTTGGTAGGCAAGGGGTTAAGTGGTTTTTAGTTATCTCTGTAAATTGCAAAACACTTGGTCAACAACTGCGTCACTGAGTGGAGGTGGGTGCCCGGGATGTCCAGGGGCTTCCACCTATGGCACGGCCAACGCCTAGACAGAGTTACGCCCCCATGGCTGGCAAACCCGCGCCCTCCAGCCACGAGCCCCCACGCCAATGGAACCAGCGCACCCGTCACACAGATTAACAGTGGAAGAATTAAGGAGGGGAGGGATGAGGGTAAAAGAATGATCCAAAGGCTAAACGAAGAGAATGGCCGCCAAGAAAACACTGTACTGAGCACATGGAGGTGATGCAAGCAAGGATGACCGCGCTTGAGCCAAACAACCGACCACTGGCCACGCTTGCGCTCCTTGTTGTTAACTCTGTTAAATAAATGTTTATTCAACCTCATTTTAAATAAACTCTTCAAGGGGCTTTTTAGGTTTCCACATGTAATTCTGTTTCCAGTCTTTTTTTTTCTGTTTCCAGTGTTTTCAGCATTGGTACCCTTGTATTCTTTTTCTTTTGGGGAGGTGTGAAAACCTATTACTCTGACTCAGGGCTTGAAAATCGTCCCCTCCTGTCCAGGCAAGTCATGTTGTATCTAAATCATAAATTAAGACAAGCAAGCAAGCAATGGTCCTGGGCATGTAAGATGTGACAGCTGCCTGTCCAAAGGGCATCCAGGAATTTACGTTTTTTTAGGCCTAACTATTACTCATGTACTCAACCAGGGTACAAAGAAAATCATTTTTAAAGCTTGCTATTCGGGCAAGCTGAAGCTAGCATTTACTAGCCCAGACGTCATTTCAACTAGCCCCAAAAGCTTTTTGATGAGCAGAATTGATTTCACAGTTCTTCTGTTATTCGAATTCCTCAAAAACCATCACTTGCCCGTCGGGCAAGTTAAAAACAGAATTCACTAGCCCCATAGTAAAATCCACTAGCCATGGGCTATTGGACAATACTTTCTTTGCATGCGGTCCACCCAAGATTAAAATTAACAGTTATTCAAGAAAAGTTCATCCTAAGAATAAGCTTTTTTTCTTTTGTTGAGCAGCTATTCTTTTTAATGATATAGCTCAGGCTTACATGGCATTAAACATTTTACTCCTAATAAAGTCCACAGAAAAAAAATTATTATTCACAAAAAATCCAAACTTCACTTTGTAGTATCCCTAGAAGTAAATAGCACTGTGAAAAAGTTCTGCTGAAGAAGTGTCATTTGAATGGTAACACCATAGATTTCAAGGGCAGAGTTGAATTGAAATAATCTTTCCATAACTTGCTCTAGGACTGAAACTGCTAAAGAATTAAAAAATAAGTGCTGTGATTTTTTTTGAAGTCATCTAATGATGCTAAAGACAACAATAAGTGGACTTTTTACAAGCATTTTATTATGGCTATGAAAGTTATCAGTCTTAAATGCTCAAAGATGATGCACAAGGTAACAAGGTCATTTGGAATTGATAGCCATGATTACTGATTTGTGATCCTGAAACTGCTGGCATCAAACACGCTGGATTTTGTCACGACGCACTCAGTGAAATCATAAAAGTGTGTAAGAATCAGCAATGCATATGCTGATTAAAGCAACCTATTTTCATAAAATATACTGCAAAGAATTGAAGTTTTATTTTTTTTTACTTGTTGTGGGTATTGCAATACTAAATTACCTGGGACAAATTTCTAGAGGAAATCTCATGCACAACACTTTAAGTAACTTTCCTTTTTTCAGAGAAAATTGCTCAGGTGAACACTGCTTTCTACTTCTGCATAAAAATTCATCATCAAGACCGTCTGGTCCACAGCATTTTCTATTATTGTTTACTAAGTGGCTAACTATTCATTGTTTAGGAAACCATGGTGAATCATAATCTGCAAACCTAAAAACGTTTATTCAGAGGCTGGTTTTGGGCAAAATAACAGCCATCGCTTTTTGGGGAAAATGGTGCTACATTAACGTTCAAGTGACATTAAATTTACAGACAGACTTTTAATTCTTGAGTTGTCAACGGATCACCTCTCAAACAATTTTTTGTTGCGCGCTGTTGGTGATCTTCGTGAGATTGTTGAAAATTAATATGGTAAAGAAGTCTACCAATAAAACCACGCTCCACAACACGACTTCCTCTCAAAACTAACGAAACAGAACAATTACAGATTTAAGCTTTTAGGGCTAACTTGATCTTGGATCTATCCCATGAAAAGTGCGAATATTTATTGTTTTCGACGAAAGATATTATACCACTTCCCCATCTATTTGATCGCCATGTTGTATATTTTCTCATCTTCGAGGAAAGAGTTTACTTTCAAGACAATCTCTTTAAATTTCATTTCAAAATCGCTGGCTTTAGGGTCCAAAAAAGGGGTTCCAAAAATTTACAACTTCGCACTCACGACAACTGCATTTCACGCACCAGTGGCGAGAAGGCATCTTTTCGAGATTGTTTAAAACAAAGTTATGTCATCAAAAAACCTTCCAGGTTTATGAAAAAAGCGTTCCAACCCAGAATCTAAACTCTACCTTTAATGCATCAATTTTTGACTCCTGGAGCACAAAAGGAGTGGACTTATTCGGTTGCGCGACTGCCGCAACCGCACTAAAAAGTTCACAGCGAAGGAAACTCTTGTAATGTAGTACCACTTTTTCATCCTGATTTAAACACATGGGTATTAGTTTTAACTTAAAACGTAGTACTTTGACCAAACCTCGAAGGTTTGAAAACCATTACCTTTAGAGATAAAATGGGTTCAAGCAGCTTACCTTGTCATCCGGTATGGTTTTGTGTCGTGCTGTAACACCACTGTCACCCATACTGGGTGAACCAGTATGAAGTTGAACTTCGAAACCAAGGTAGCCTTTAAACTCAGCGAATTACCAAAGCAAAGAGACTTTTAATACTTTCTTACACGAAAAAACTGTAAGACAACTTAGTTATCGTGCTTTACATGTCCAATCTCTGCCAAAAACTGCCTACTCATACATACAGACACAAGCTTGTACGAAAATATATTCACTCTTGATCGATACATACGCAAGCCGCAAGTTCATCTGGGAAATTCCCGTGACGTCATTGATTAGGATCTTCTGTTTGTGACAAGCAAACAATTTTGACAAATTTCCTAATTCACTAGCACATCCGCAAAGTGGTTCTTCGTCTACCCGTTATTTTACCTTTCCACAATCTGATTTTTTTTAGTTTTGTTTTAAATGTATCCTTATTGTTGCCCTCTTCCTGCTACAAAGCTGTAGGCTTAGTTTGTCAGCGTTATGTACCAGATCCATGCTATAGTAGCGATAAAAATATAGCAAAGGTATCTGATGTGGAATCTGGATAACAAAAACTGAATAGGTCCGAAACATATGGTAACAAATATGCTTACGTAAAGTGAAAACCAAGTGACAATTTGAAGGGGTAGCCTTTTTTCTTAGTTAAAAAAAAAAGAAAGAGGAACGGAAACCCCCTTCCGAGGCTAAAACATTGCAAGAAAATAAGTACTTTAAATCGTGACTATAGAATTCGAAGTGAGGTCGGACATCTCTTAGTAATCAAAGAGTTTTCATGTTTCAATAGCCAGGCCGCAAACAAGTCAAAGTTGTTACTTACAAAGATCAAAAAAAAAAAAAAAAATGGTATCAGTACTTTAGTAAAAGCTAAGTTCATATTTCTAGTAAAAGCTAGTTCATATTTCCAGGTGGCGTCAGTATCGATTCTCCCTTTCAGGTAAGGATTGAATTGCATCTTGTGATCATCATCATCATCATCATCACAAGTTCGTTTTTTCCAGTTAAGTTGCACTAACATTATGATCTCGGTCTAGGAACAGACAAAACGAACAAAACAATACAAAACAAACAGAACAAGGAAGGCCTTAACAAGGATTTTTTACAGGCTCCGAATCTAACTGAGAAGATGTATAGAGAATTGTCAAAAGCAACGCCGCCACACGTCACACGATTTTGTTGACTGTTTTTAATACACCCCTGCGTCCATTTCAAAGACTGTTGGGCGTCAACAAGGGCGTAGCTACCTGTATACCCCTGAGTATGCACGTGCGTACCAGGAAAAATGTCAAAGATAAATAAAATACAAAAGCAAAAACAAAGTAGAAAAACAAGGTAAAGAACTGACCAGAAGGGAAATATGAGATAGCTGGAAACTGTTGGAATTGTCGGTGTCACATCGCTTTAAATTCTGCCTGATAATTTTTTAAGCAAAATGCAGGATTTTCCTCGATTCACTCAAACGCAAAAACCGTACGTCGCTATCCCCTGATACGGAAAAGAAAACTGACAGTCAAACAAACCAGCTGCCGTCGAAAAGAGTCTGAAAAGATTTTGGAAACGTGGAAGATTCGGGTTGCCTCGCCGGTAGACCTGCTGCTGTTGAAAATTCTTTTCGTGACCGAAAAAATAGCGCGCGAGAGAGAGAGAAAATTAGCATGTGAAAGTTCGAATCTTTCATTATTCTTTATGTATGTTTCGACATACTTTTTATTTCATTTTTATACATTTAAGATCGTGGCCTGACGGCCAGAGAGCGAAAAATGAGTTGCGCTTATCTTCACTCACTATAAAGGTATGTGATTTGTGGTGTAGCCAACAAAATATGATTTTCAGGGAAACGTAAAAACAACGTGTGGCGACTTGCGTTCCGCGTGACGCTGGAGTGTGGTCAGCAAATTTGGTCAGCACTCTTCAGCAATTCTGATTGTGCGCACTTCTTCGACCCCGGAAGAGGCCATTGCGATCGAAAACATATCCGATTGAAAACTGGGGATACCAAAGATGGCATTGTTATAGGCTATCAAGCGAAGTAACTGACACTTGCTTCATTTCGTGATCTTTAACAACATGGATCTAAACAAAATTGTATGGCTTTAGCTGGAAATGGCGGCCGACAGCGAAGATATTTTGGCCGTGAGGGAATGGCTGTCCTCGGAAGTTAAGCTGGAAAGGTATGCCGATAAACTTGTGACAAACGGTTTTATTTCCCTTAAGAGTTGCTGCAAGATCGATGAAACTGTTCTCGATGAAGTTGGAATTGTATTACCGTACCATCGTAAGCGATTTTTGGCGTTTGTGGAGAAGTTGAAAGAAAAGCTCGGCACAAAGTTACCGAACGAAGCAAATGGTGTCGTGTCAAATACGGAATTGATAGGGCAATCTGAAGCAGGAAATGAACAACAAACATCACTAATTTGTTTAAAGAGCGATGAAGGAAAAAGTGAGCTTGAGAACAGTTGTTCTTCGCCGCTTTTAACGGAGGATGGTGGAAATTCAGAAAGCACGGTTGCTGAAGAGGGGCTACCGATGCTTCCGCCGAAAACCGCCAAACGAAGTCCTTCAGTAAAAGCTCCACCACCTATACCGCCAAGAGCAGACTTACAGGAAGGGAGTAGTTCTAGAGACTCAATCCCAAGGGCTGTGCATGTAAACACTCAGTCACACCAGTCGGCTCAGCCATCTCATGCTGAACAACTTCCAGTTCATGGTGATGAACCAAAAAGGAAAGTGCCCCAGAAACCACCCAGAAGAACTGTAGAAAAGGCAGCTTCTGCTAATAAACCAGAAGTTATAAGTGGCACGAGTTTAGAGTCTAGCTTGCAGACTGAAACTCAGCAACAGGCTTCATGCTCTGTTAATAATGGTGTTAATGAGGACGTTGTTGCAACCTTTGATCCATTGAATTGCAAAGAACTTTCTACTGATGTTGATAATTCCTTGTCAGCTGCTTCAGAGTTGCCTCATCCCCAACTTAGTGATGGGGACTTGGAAACTTGCAATGATCAAACAAGCAGAGAAAATTATATGTTAGGGGAAGTTGACGAAGGAACAGGTCACACTTCTTTGGAAGCAAAGAGGCCAGCTCCAAAGGCAGCTGTTAGGACAGGATCCAAAAAACCAGTACCTGTCCCTCGAGTACCACGTGCCAGAGTAAAGTCGGAAGATAATATATTAGTGTCGGCAGTAGCCCCTGAGAGGAACAATATAGATGAAAAGAAAGAGGAGATTCCATCTGCACCCAAACACTCTTTACAAACCCGAACAAAGTCATTTACAACACCAGGTGACAGAAACGTTGGTCCTACAGAAGACAAACCATCAACTTTCCCAAGATATCCTTCCAGGCCAGCCCCACCTGCTCCTCCTAGAAAAACAAGTTTAAGAGAGAAAAGAAGCATTTCAGATATGCCATTACCTCCTATACCCACAGAGGGAGGGAACAAAAATCAGGGTGATGAATTAGATGGTGCTGTAGCCTCTGGACAAGGTACAGTGTCACTTAAATTTTTAAGGCCCAGGAGTGACCAAAATCAGTTCTCTCCTAACAATACCAAATACAATCAAGAGAAAACTAGGTTATGTAATACTTTAATCACCTAAGGGAAAATGTTTTGATTCTTTATCAAATTCTTTTAACTAACTCTTTATAGAAATATATATACACAGATCACATGTACCTTGAAAGTTCTTGAAAATTGCAGTTAGCGCTGGAAAGTCCTTGAATTTTGGTGCTAGAAACTTTATCCAACCCAGATTCTCAAGTGCCTAAAAGCAGCAAACACAGAAAGACCTTCACAACGAAATAGCTCATGTTGTGGAAGAACCAAAAAAGACAGACTCAAGGCTCTTTTTTGCACTGAATGGAGTCCTTGAAACATGGGAAGTGTGTCCTTGAAAATCATTGAATTTTTTTGTTCAAAAAAGGGTTTGAACCCTGTATATAGAGACCAGTTTGGAGAATCTTGTAAGTAGATATTGGAGTTTGAAGGGTTTAAGTAGCCTTTATGAATTCCATTTTTAAGTTGCCATTGCCTTTGTCTGTGTCAAAGAACAGAAAGTTCCAATCTCATCTTTCAAGCCTTTGTTATCTGTGCAAAGAACTTGCAGGGGACGAGGGAGGTGCAGTTTAAGGTATATAAAGCAGTTTTCCCATATTGTGTCCACATAGATTGTCATTGTTTGTTTTTCAATATAATTTGAAATTGGCATGTTACTTATGTATCAAAACTATGTACAAACAGGAGTTATTTAAAGTTGGGATTTAAATAATATAAAATACACAACATGATTTGATCTTAGCATCCCAAATCCAACTGTATTCTAGCCTGCACGCAGACGAAATTAAACTCTGGTACTAATCAGAGTTTAGTTATCGTCTGCACGCAGGCTAACTGTATTCATGTGTGCTTGAAAGAGAGATTCTTCAAAGCTGTCAGTAGCAGGGTACGTTCTGTTTATGTTGTATGTCAAAACAAGATTCAGGTTAAAATGATTTCAACCTAGTTTGATTTCCAACTGGTAATTCATAAGTCTTTAAGAGTCTTGTATAGTTAGTATGCCCTATGTGAAATGTTTTGGATGCCTGTTTGATTGTTGTTTTGAATTAATTATGATTAGTTCAAAGGAAACATAGTGCAGACACAAGCCTTGCTGAACAAGAACCTTTTGCAGATACCACTTATGAAGCCATTAACTTTAAGGATTATCAGAAAGCGGAAGAATCAGGAGATGATAACTACTCAAGTGATGATTCTCTGGATGCAGTAGAAGATTTGCCAGAATATGCTCCCAAGGTATGTGATCAGTTGAACCTCTGTTAAGTGGACAACAAGTGTGGATTCAGAAAATTCAGAAAGTGAGGGCAGGGACACCCTTGAGTTATATGGATACTATGTATTTGACTGAGAATTCTTTAAAAATGATACAAATGTTTGCAAAAAATGTTGGGGCCTTAGTGGCTGCCTTTCTAAATCTTGTCATTAAACAGTTTGAACTTATGAAGAGACAGTGATCTGTGATTTTTTTATAGCTGGGAAGAGGTGACAGTGTCGATAGTCCTGAAGACTCAAGAATGTCAAGAAATATCCTTAGTCCCAGGGTAAGTGTGATTTACTGGTTTCTTCTTTTTGTTAAAAGTGAGTTCTTTGCTACAAAGAATCATAACTTTTTACTTCCCAGGTGAGAGAAAGATAAGTTCCATAACTTGTATTTCTTGACACTTGCAGGTTCGCAAGAGTGAAGGATATCTCTGGAAACAAGGAGGGTCAGTGAGAGCTAAGTTCTTTATCCCCTTAATCCCGAATGTTAATGAATGATTGAGCGTGTGAAGAAAAAACTGAACAAATGAACGAGCAAACAAACAAAGTGGCATACTAACAAGTTAACAGTAAGCTCAGACATGTATCAGCATGAAAGGGCAGGCCATGATATGAATAACGTTTGCCAGGAAGTAGACTTCTGGGAAAACGTCCCTACTCTTTTTGAACAGTGATGTGGTTTCTTTTACATCCCCTTCACAAAATAATGTAAGAAGGATGTAGGAGACAAGGCCAATGGCTTAACGTCACAGCCCAAATGACACCATCATTGAACTGAGACATGGTCTTAACATAGCCAACACGATTAAAGACTCTGGTTGTTGTTCTAGTCTCCCACTCGATGGACCAGCAGTCCTAAAAGTACAGATTGGATCAAGAAGCATGCTTCAAAATTACCAGCAGGCATCATTTTTGACCAATATAAACTTGTTTTTCTTTTACCTTTAGGCAACAAAACAATAAGGGATGGCGAAAACGTTGGTTTGTTTTTAGTGGGACAGACTTGAGATACTACAAAGATAAGGTACATGAAAACAAAATGTATGCTTTTATTTTTAAGACTTTTTGATTCAGAAATAAAGCACATAAGCAAGTCTGAGCAATAAAAGTTTACCTTGCATGGTTTAAATTTAACCAGAAGCTACTTGAAGGTCCTAGGAAGAGCACATTTGTACGGCTTACAGGAAAGGTGGACAAGGTGGTGTAAAGGGTTGTTTATGTTGAGTTGAAAAAACTCAGAACTGTTGCACATTATATTTTGAGGTCGCAAATATTTTGCAGTTTCTTTAAGCTTGTGTACTTCCACTATTTCTTCCTTCCAGTGATTTCAACAGCTTTTAATGACTGAAGTAAAGAACTCAAAAACATCTTATTTATAAGATCAATATACTGAGTTATTTGTATACATCTTTTTAGCAAAATCTGAATGAATCCCTTCATATCATTCCTGTCAGTCAAATAAGAAACATTGAGCCATTGAAAGATGTAAGTATAGAATAGACTTGATATCACCATGTATATTATTGTCAAGCTGCAGGATAGGAAAGCAGTTTTAATAGGTTCCAAATTTGCTGGAAAAATACATTTTTGTTAAAATTGAATTAGTTTAATCTATCTGATTATTACAATGATCAGACAGTCTAAGTTATATTGTACTGTACTACCCAAAGCTGCAAGGATCTTGTGCAGTTAAATTAGTCACTTTTTAATAGCATCCTTCTCTTTGAAAAAAGTACTTTAACTAGGTTTGTCTGTTGTGCAGCCTATCAACAGTAATTTACCGGTAATAATTAAATCAGGGTGCAAAGAAAGTCAGTTGTAGTTAGCATGTACTAACCCAAGAGTCATTTTAACTGGACAGAAAAAAGAGAAGCAAGATTGATTACGGTTCTGCAATTAGAATACCAGTTCACTTTTGTATTGGGCAAGTTAAGGACAGAATTCACTAGCCTGATAGCAAAAGCCACTAGGCCCAGGCTACACCTGTATCAGACTCAACTTTGTTTACACTCAACCCTCCAAGTTAAAGTTTTTGCTTAGTCGCCATTTGGCAACCAATTCTTTTGGTTTAGGGAAACTTTTTTACAAATCAAGTCGCCAACTTCAAAATTTTAGGTGCCATGGGAACTAAAATAGTCGCAACTTGGAGGGTTGCACACGCTGACTTATCTTCTTTTATATACCATAACTTCATATAACCTACTTGCACACATACCTACCTGCTTACCTACCCATTTTCTCCTTTATTTTCTTTTCGTCTTCAGGCAAAACGTCCAACATTTAAGGTCATCACTCCAAACAGAACTTTTATATTTGCTTCTGACAGCACTAGTGAGTTTTGTATTGTTGTTGTTGCTCTTTCTTCAGTTTTATGTAGCTGTATCTTGTTCAATATTGACCCAATTAACATCAAACGTGAGAATTTTGCAAAGCTAGGGGTGCTTTTTCTGGCTATTTGCGCCTTATGTTAATAGTCCTGTAACACATGGACTCATATCCAGCCCCCCATTGGTTTGAAATTAGGCAGTGTTCTAATTCCATGCTCTAATAATATTCAATTTCACAGTCTTTGCTAAGGATGAAAATTAATGTTGGGCCATCAAAATATGGTCAATTTATACTGAAACATCTATTTTATAACTTGGATGTCTCTTTTGTATAAATTTCCCAACAGCGGACATGAATCTTTGGTCGCAGACTCTCATGGAAGCAGTTATCGTTTACAAGGTAATTAAATTACAATATCATACCTGAAAACTTGCTTTACGGAATCTATCACCCCTAGAAAATGTCCTGGGCAATTTGCAAAATTGCAGTTTTTAACCTTGCAAATGAACTTTTAACAGCCGGGGAAGAAACCCAAAAAAAGGCTGCTGAAATAATATTTTCATTACTGGATTATAGCTACTGCTTTGATTGTTACATGTATGCCTGCTTATCTATAAAGGGCAAATCTGCCCTGATCTCTAATATTCATTAGATAGGTTACAGCTGTGGTTTTTAAACTGTGGTAGTTACTAGTATCAGTTTAGGAACACCAACAAAAACATTGATCGTTTTTATGTTCCAGGGAGATGAAAAAGCTTGGAAGAGTGGAGGAGACATGTGTGATCCTGATAAAGAGGTGCGATTTCTCTAATTAAAAGTATTTTCTTATATTTTATGGTTGCTCCTCTGGTGTTTAATTAAAATGCAACCATTTTTTACAACATTTTTTAAATGTACAAAGCAGTTCCCAAAGATGATGATGATGATAATAATAATAATAGCAATAACAATAATAATAATAATTAATTATAAGCCACAAAATAGCATTTAAATATGATCTAATGGGCACAAATAATAGACATTTTTTTTCTTATACCATCCCAAGTCACTGAATTTCACAGGAATTTCCATCGAAAGCCTAGCCTGTCAGCAGTTTGAATATTATCTTAATTAGCATATAATGATGATTACTTTTCAGGGATGGCTAAAGAAACAAGGGCATAACGTAGTTGCTGATTGGAAGAAAAGGTATTCTTTTCCGATCTTCTTCTTATCTGAAAACATAGGGCAATAATAAAAATGAAAAATTAACTTTTCTCTTTCATTTTCTTAACCTTCTAAACTTTGTTTATATCTAGATATGTTGCTGTCAAAGATGACAAGATTTGCTATTATGACACATATGAAGTACGTTTCTCCCATTGACCTTGATGTTTGTTTTTTGTTAGTTTCTCACTGTGACAAACGATTTTTTTTTTTTGCATGATTTTTTTTCACAATGATTATTGCTTTTCAAGTTTACCATTTCTCATTATAACTTTGTTGTGTTACCCTCTCTTAAAGAAAGTCTCCACTCCACCTCACAGTTCATATTACATTCCCTCAGGACTTTGTGTTCGCAACTCCAATTAACTGTATCAATGCTGCACTTGCCAAAGTAAAAACCGTTGAGGGACACAAGAACAGATTTACAATCATTACTTTCAACAAGTCCTACAGGTTAGTATGAATCAAAGGAAATTCTGCCCCATTTTCCTCCTGTAGTGGTTGTCTGTTACTTCATTAGACCTTGCTAGTCTTTGACCATTGTCATTTCAAATGGTCTTGAGATGTGTAGTACGCTTTGTGTCACTTTTGACCTAATGTAAGCTAAAACTTTTAACTGTTGTTCAAAGTACCATGGCATTTTTTTTCTGACACTCTTTTACTGTGAAAAACTGGGATAACTTACCAGCCACTTGACTCTTTAACAGTATTACACCTTCAGAATTCCCCTGAAAGTTTCGTCTCCTTAAGCACTGTAATATCAACCAGCGATAAGCTTCTCTTTAGCTTCACATCCTGCTTATAATTTTCATCATTCTATAGTTTTCAGGGAGATAGTGAATTTGATGCGGCCTCCTGGATCATTGCCATTGAAACAGCAATCCAGATAGGACTTGGTGATAGAGCGGTAAGAAGTATAAATTGTCACTTATCAAAATGATTATTGTTATTGTGTGCTTAATAAGCTGAACTCTTCTTTCTTCAATGATTACAGGCTAAACGTAGAAAAAATTCATTTATTTTGTCGAGACTGGTTATTGACTGTTGTTGTATAGTACAACAATGTCAAAAAACTGAAAACAAAATAGTAATCAATATTTGTATGTAAAAGATCATTTCTCCCCTCTGAAGTTATGTATTTTGCACCTCTACCAATACACTACATTCAAATCACTAGATGTTATGTGACCTGAAGTAACTTATGACAGGTTTTACTGTTGAGGAAAAATTCCAGCAATAACTGACAATAATGTATGTGAGGATGCAAAAGGATGATAAAAGGCTGTGATATTTGGTCAGTTATGCTTTTGTCTTGGGCAGATTCTTGAAAAAGTTTGGGAGAATCCTAGTAATCGATGGTGTGCTGACTGTGGAATGAAAGGCAAGAATTGCATTACCTTTTTATAAAATTAACTGACTAGTATCACCATTTAATGTACCATGCTTTGGTACAAAAATAATCCCAGGAATACAGTCGATTCTCTCCTAATAGACACCTCTATAACATGGACACCTCACTAAAACAGACACCTAGAGTTGGTCCCTGCCTTTCTTTACTCCCTTTATTTGACTCTCTATAAGACGGACACCTCTAAAACTGACACCTAGAGTTGGTCCCAGCCCTTCTTTACATCCTTTATTTTGCTCTGTATAAGACGGACATCTCTTGTAGACATACATGTACACTGACTGCCTGTCCCAAAGGTGTTTGTGTTAGAAAGAATTGACAGTAGTTCTTTAAATTTGCAGTCAGTGACTGATAAAATTTAAGTAAGAATTCACCATTTATTTCCATGGCTCTGTCTCTATTAATCTGTAGAAATAAAATATCTTTTGTAGCCAATACATGTACTAATAAATAGTTATTTTATCCCTGGCATTGACTGTGCTTTTTGTTTTAATCATTTTCAGATCCAGTGTGGGCATCAATAAATTTTTGTGTGTGCGTCTGTGCAAAATGTGTGGGTAAGTGGAACAGTCACAGCGAGTTTGGCTAATGGGGGATGTTATATAGCCAAGAGAAATTTTTTCTTGCAGAACCAATGGGGAAATCCCGAGCGGGTAATCAGAACACAGTTTACCTTGTCTTTCCAGCTCATGTAGCCAGTTATAGACCTAATTTAAGGTGGTTATGTGTGTATGACAGGGATGTGGCTGGCCTGTGATGGCACATGTAATTCTGGCGGTTGCTTTTCTCTGCTGAAAATAGCCATTTGTTTGCAGGCTAGCTTGGAGTTACATTGATTGCTTTCATGTTTGACCAGCTGAAGAGCTGTTAAGTATAGAGCTGGCTGGTCCTTTTATTTAGCTTCTGTACAAATTTCTTAAGATAGATCACTGGTTTAAGGGCTTTAATTTTATGCTCTTTTTTAAGGCATGCACCGAAATCTTGGAGTGCACTGTTCCAGAGCACGATCTCTGCTTATGGATGAAAAGGTCTGGAATCCAACTCTTGTTGAGGTAAATATGTCTCTTCAACCTTGATATTTCATTGCACCTTATGATACCACTTTTGTATGTGAGCTGATTTTGCTTTATCTGTTCCAGCTGATGATAAAAATTGGAAATGACACAGCCAACCAACTTTTAGAGCACAAGTTGCCTGAAGATGACAAAATCAGTCCAGAAGCTAATGTGTATGTATAACTCAATAACACTTTTTTGATATTTTCTTGACCTACGTGAAGGGAGGGGCTTTGCTAATACTATGATGTGACTTGCCCTTTTTAACCCTAATATCAAAACACATTCTCCACTCTGTCCTCCATATATTTCTGGTACTACAGTCTAAGAGAATTTGTGTAAAATTAAGACGTTGTTCATCTTCTGTGATTATTTCCTTTATTCCCTTGTTCTTTATGTTGAGTAGTGATATTAAATGGAGAAACTAGATCTGTTTTACTAACCATTTGTTTAAATTAACCATGATTTTTTCATTGCTTACAGCGCAGAAAGACGGGAGTTTATTTATTCTAAATATTGTGATAAGAAGTACTGCAAATACCATCAAGCTTTTGGGGATAATGAATTTTTGGGAAAGGTAAAGTGTTTGAAAATCATAAATTTTTTTACTAGCACCAGTGACTGGGAACTTTAACACTGATTGCTGTGTTCATATTGCACCACATCCACTCAGTCTTAGGGGTTACAAGGTAAAAAGTCTGAAAATAATCCTACTTTTTAGCAAGTAGATCAGTGAATGTGGGTTTGTGGGTGTAAGGGAGAAGATGTTGTAATCCTTTCAGTCGTGATTTGTCTAACATTAAGATGTTGTTGTAGTGCCTGCGAGAAACAGTGCTTACAGATGATGTAGTTACCACCATGGAGCTTATTCTAAACAAAGTAGATGTAAGTATTTTTACTTTCTGGGGAAGGAGCACCCCTTCTCCATCATCCAACCTCCTCTCACATTTTTATGTCATTATTTCTGTCTCCTTTCTTGCTCTAATACCTGACTCTGTTATGAAACATGTGTCAAGTACACCAGTCATGTTGAATGATAATCTGTTTTCTCATATTTTTGCACCTTGTAGGTGTGTTTTGTTCCCTCTGATGCTGAAGATGAAAAAACACGTAAGTTATAAAAAAACTCTGTTATTAAAGACATCACCCATCCATACACAGTGTACCCCAGTAGAAGCAGTGAGGGGGTTGGGAAGGAGGGCAGTGGCTGGTATGGTGGGAATCCTCTTATGGCATTGCACAGCTTACGTTTCAGTTAAAGTCACGAATCAGTGTTTTTTTGGCTCCTACGAATGTTGTCCAGGTTTGACCCATGCACTCCCAAATGTGGCCAAAATCAACATTCAGCAAAATTTCCAAATTTCTTTTTGTAAAATGCTGAAAAACAAATTTATTTGTGGAACTATGGCCCAAAAAGTGTCATTTAAACGGTCAGACCATAGGATTTTGTGTACAGACTCAAAAGTTGGAACCACCTCAGTGGCAGCACTCCTTTGTAGACTCTGAGAGGAAATTGCAGGCCGTAGCACAAATTTTCTTTATTATGTACATCTTTGTGAATTCAGAAGGGAAAAGTAGTAACTTTTCTTTGATCTTTCTGCTCTCATTTGCACAGCTCTTGAATTAGCAGAAGAAGCTGGACATTCTCTTCAAGCTGTAAGCAGATCTCCCATTGTATAGAACTTTTGTTTAAAAGAGATTTCTGATAGATTTCTGATAGGTTTTTCTACCATTGTTCTTGTTCATTTTGCACTTACATTCTTGATTTCAGGAACTACTTCGCCAAAATGGTGGAGAAGGAGGTTTGTGGCAATATTTATTTATAAAATTAATATATTTTTCTCAGTTTACTGAGTATTTTTCTGTCTTGTGGATCACCCCCCAACCCGAGAAACTGTCCATTTTTCGAAAGATTTCAAACTTTTTGTCATGTTGCTTTTTAGGGCAACTTCTTGTGCAGAATAACAATGATAATCAGGTCACGTCTGAGGTGATTATTATGTTATGTTATGTTATGTTGTTATGTTATGTTTTGTTACGTTATGTATTGTTGTGTTTTGTTATATTACGTTAAGCTATGTTATGTTATTACATGCTAATTCATTGTCTTAATGTCTGCATTGCTTTGTCACTTGTCTTCTATTTCTCCTGCATAAGATTATCCGTTAAAACTGAACATCATGTTAAGTACTGTTTAAAAAACGAGCAGAAGTGAGGTATTTCGCCTCGAGTTTTTAACCCGATAATACATGACTGTTAGTGTTTTGAACGTCTTCAAAATCTCTGATATAGATCAACTCATTCTTGCACTAATATTTTGATTTTGGGTTATTTTGGTGTAAAAAATTTGACGTAAAGTGTAGCTGTGTCTTTATCAGATATGAAGACACTCATTAAACATTACTTTCTTTTGTTTTTCCTTTATGTGAGTTTTTGAAGCTTTTTCTCTATTTTGTTAAGAATGCTTTATCTCTGAATTTTTCAAAGTCACATGCATGAACCTTTTAATAATGGTCCAAGATGGATGACAGTCAATGCATGTCTTCTTTTCCACTTAATTTTTGTTATTATTATTTTTTATGTGTCAGAGTTCAGCAAGTACTCCATTTGTTGAAGTGGTTTATGAGAAAGAAGGATTCTTGTACAAGAAAGAAGGAGTAAGTTAATGTATCTATGTACCTATTGATATGCGTGCCATATTTTCAAACTTGTTCCAGTGCACTAGGTGTTTTTTGAACATGCTGCATATTTTGTCCATAGTGTTCATTAATCAAGGGAATTTATTCACTGCCCATGATGGTGGTATAATGTTGTGGTTCAATTATATGCCTGGTTTGAATTTTATTTCTCTGTGTTATTGGGTATGATGATTTGTAACAATAAGTTTGAAACAAAGGAAAATATAATTCAAACCAAGGATAAAGGTTATCCACTACATATATCTTTCCAATATATGCGAAGTTTATTATGGAACAAAAAAAAGTAGTAATTTAGAATTTATTCAAGACCTGGCGTTTCATTAAGAAAATACGTTAATTGATTAATGTTTATTATTTTAGTTATTCATTTGATTCATTTTTTATTTAGGGCTGGAGAAAACGCTGGTTTCTGTTGAAGGATCGTCAGCTTAAGTATGGAAGAGGGGTCGGTAGAACTTGAGTTTCGTTTCTTAACATTACATTTTGTTTCATTTCTACTAAATACAAGACTAAATGTACAATTATGTAAATCAAGTTAATATATTTGCAGCCTTACGAAAAGGAAGACCTTGTTACAATTGACTTGACAACTGTGACGTCACTGGTGAAGTGTCCCAAGGGAGAGGTGTTACAGATGGATATTGTTACAGCTGACAAGTGAGAAAATCACAATATTCAAAGGGGCCATGCCACAAGGATATTGCTATTCTGTGCTTAACCCTTTAATCCCCAATATACACATACAAATTCTCCAAACTGATCTCCATACATTTCCTTACTGAATTAATTGAGAGAATTTCATATAAGATCGAGGCATTTTCTCTTTGGTGATCATTTTATCAATTCTCATAATCATAATCTCTTGACATTGTATGGATAATGTTAGGAGAAAATTGATGTTGGTCACCATTAGGACTTCACGGGTGAAGACATTACTTAGTGTCTGTACTCATACACAAAGTGCTCCTGTAGAGTTGGCAAGAAGATATCAAACAGATTGCATCAGGGAACACTTACCAGAAAAAACTGGCCCAATTTTTGAACTTTCAGCCCATGTCCATCCTTGCTATCCATAGCAACAGAAAGCAGTTTCAGTATGTAAATTAAGCCTTAGGGTGCATCCCTTTGGGATGTTCCGGATCGGGATCAGTGATCCGAGATCACTCAGATCGTGGTAAAGCTGGCCTGCGTGGCATGGCGGTTTTGGTTGGGCGCGGTAAGTAATAAAGGCGGGCGGGGGCAGAGAAACCGCGAGGAGATGATCCGATGAATCCTTTTTCAGAGTGGATTCATTGGCTTCTTTGATGCATCGTGATCTGGGTGATCCCGGATCACTGATCCTGATCAGGATGCACCCTTAAATAACAAGAATGGGCAATAATTTTTAGAATTTAATTGGTGTGAAGACACGTTTTAGCTTTTTAAAAAGATAGCGAGTAGCGTGACATAGCGTCTTTAAAAAACCTCCTAAGCTTGAGTTTACTCATCCTCCTGCCCCACTCTGTGTGGAACCTAATTGTCAGGGTATTGTTGATCCTTCTTTTTAGAACTCACAGTCTGAAAGCAGACACAGAGGAGGAGCTGGAGGCCTGGTACGCAGCTCTAAGAAGCAAACAGGTAGGAGCCTAGTGCTGAATACAGTGGAATCTCTCTGAAAAGTACGGTGGGACGTTTTCTTTTCATGACTACATTTTCACTGTTTGTTCTGTTTGTCTTAAAAGGTGTTTGGTGTTTTGCTGAGTCAGCAGCAGCTGGGTTCAGATGGTATCCCTCATTTGGTAGCGAAATGTCTGCAGTTTGTTGAAACTTATGGTATGAAACAAAGTCTTGTTAATTTGTTCTCTTAAGCTGCGTTTCACACGACAGGCACCCGACGAATTTTCGATCAACATCGCGACGGCAACTTCCCGCCAAAAGTGAAGTCGCGCTGCTTGCCCGCGCTGCTTCAAACTTTATCGCGCTTATTCTATCTCATTCATTTCGTCAAATATTGGTAATTTTTCCTGGAGTTGAATTCTAAAAGATTGCTTCAAAGTTCAGGAACAGAAAAAATAGAAAGTCGTCTCGTATTCACGTCCTAGAAAAAAACGTGAAATTGGGCAGTCTCACGTCGTAGTAGTGCACTGACGGCAAAGAAATGTACAAAAAAAGCGTGATGTCCGTGCAAAGTTGTTGTTTTGCCAATCTAAACTTATTGCTTTTTTGCCGTCCTCGTTGATGTCGACGTCGTCGTTGCTTAGCTCCCTATTCGCCCAGTGCCGTGTGAACGTAACGTTATTTTACAGCTCGGTTAAAAGAGAAACTTCAAAAACCACTCAAGTGGAAACATGAATTATCGAGCAGCTAAGCTTACTTGAGCTTTCACAGCTAAAAGCTCGGTTTGTCTATCCGTGAATAAGTTTGCTTCTTTTTTTTTTTTACAAATGATAACAGGCGGTATTGAGATGGAAGGAGTTTATCGAGTGAATGGTGGACAGTTGACAATGAAGAAACTGAAGACGGCTTTTGATCAAGGTAACGCTATGGAACTGTAATTGTTCATCCGCGAAAACGTTACTTTTTCTAGTTTCATTTCAGACCAGGTTTCAACAGAGTTTCGTAAAACTGAGTGCAAATCAATTTCTTCCCCATCTGAACGAAAAAACAAAACCAGCGAACTGCTGGAAGCATGGCACCAAGCTCGATCGGGAAACACGTGGGCGGTGTTCTACTCCTAACTGGTGAAGAAAAGTGGCGCGAGATTTTTTAACCAATCACTAAGCATCCGCATTCGGTCGCAATCGCGCAAGTACTTTTCACACTGTGTGAATCACTGATTGGCACGTGTCTTATTTCAGATGCTAGAGGAGTGTTGTTGACTTTGGACGACTGCGGTGTTCATGACGTCACTGGTGTACTTAAACAGTACCTCCGACAGCTTCCCGATCCGGTCATTCCGGGTACCATGTACAAACAATTCATTGCAGCGGGATGTAAGTATCTGACGCTTTATTAACTTGCTACATTTTTTTACTTTTAGCTGTGTACAATTGTGGTGCAGCATTTCCAAAGTGCGTTTTTCAAAGAGTATATTTACTTTAAATGGCTGCCCTTTACTATTTTAAGGAGCTCAATAATTTCGTTGATGTTGTTTATTTTTAGTAAATCAAGACCACAGCACAAGATTGATAGCCATCAAGGACTTGATCAACCAACTTCCCAAAGTGAACCATGATACTTTGAAGGAAATCATTTTTCATTTGACAAAGTATGTACCACATACTCGAGAGCTACACTAAAAGCCATCACTCACTGGCACTATTGCCTTGCATGAGTTTTCCCGCGCTTGGCACCCGTTCCATATTTTCCCGCGTCCTGCACCACCTTCCCATAATCACCCATGGCATCTGTTCCATATTCCCCGCGCTCATAGCATTAGCTGAGTCAAGCTGAGTACTTTTATTACATTCATTCTACTAGTTTTGCCTTCACGACAACAATAATTTACCACGTGGGGTGTTAAAGTAAGTTCTTTAATGCTCCTCATATTCTTAACTGCGTAGACTAGTATTAAAGCAGGGTGTTGACAGTTAAGTGTATTTCTTTTTCAGAGTGGTAGGATTTCAGGCCGTGAATAAGATGGGTGTACCTAATATTGCTATGATCTTTGGACCCACGCTGATGTCTAATGAGAATGTAAGCATTCACTTTTTTTCTTTGGGCACAAAAGGCGCAAAACTGTCTTACATCAAATGCGCTGGTTTTGCATTTCTACGCTTGTAATTGGTTAAAAAATCTGGCCATTTTTTCTCAACCAATCAGTAGTAAAAGCACAATCAATCATGACTTGTTCACGTGCGTTCTATGGCGCTTTGCTGGCTGACGGCGGGCTGCATCCACTCGTTTCGAGGTCTGATTGGCTTGTTGTATTGTCTGAGTTGTATTTTCTGATTACTTTATGTTTGTTGTTTTTCTTTTTTCAATCGTATTTTTATTGTTGCCATATTTTTCAGACTGGTAGAATGGATGACGCCTCAATCAACCAGGAATTCTCCATTGTTGGAGATATGATCAATTATTACCAGTGGCTCTTTAGTGTAAGTTTGCAAAATGTTATGTATAAACAGAGTCGATTTGGCATACTTGTAGCGTAATTTTATTGTGAAGCCTGACTGCTATCGTGTAAAGCATAGTTTTCCTCCAATTGGATTGTTCTGCGCGTTCTTACAATTATCAGAACTCCGTTTTCCTTTTAAAAGGCACGAGCGCCAATTTAGAAAGCTTACTCTTGAAAAGAAAATGCACTCAAAGCAGCATCGAGTTTAGTACGACAAAAATTCGTGCAAGTGAGTCTTCGAGAATTTTTGAAATAATTAGCGTAAGGCTCATGTCATTACCCCCGATAGTGAGAATAATAGCGATGACGACGAGGACGACGAATTTGATAACTCTGATGGTAACAACATTTTTATCTGCTAGGTGGATAATGAGGAATTCGAAAAGGACAAGGTAGAAATGTCGAATTGTATTTGTTTTTATGTTGTCAAATTTGCTAGATGATTTTGTCTCTCGATTCTCTAATGCCTGCTCTCATATTTGTTAGGCCATCCAACTTGCCAAGCAGAAGATAAGATTGCTGAATGAGTCCAGGGTACTGCTATGAATTTAACATTTATTTTTCATTGACGTTATGTCGTTATGGAGTCAGCTATTATTTTGTTTTACAGAGCGAAAAAAGGGAGAGCACCAGTGGAGAATTCACTCTGGACATTTATGTTAAAGAGAAAAACGACGATGCTTGTCGATTGAAGGTGATTCCTCATTCTTCCTTATCAGTCATAGTGGATGAAATTTTAAGACGGTCTCTAACAAAGCCGTGTACGGAAGCGGTGGTTTCAACGTTTCTACTTTTCAACGCAGCCCCGTTATTTAAGTTGCCACGCGTGGCGTCTCCCCTTTTGTGAGGCGTAGCGTTGTGTTACGACCTGTTAAAAGAGAGACTGAGTAGGCGACTGCAGTCGACTCTTTCTTAACGGACACCTCCATAACACGGGCACCTCTGTAAAACACACACCTAGAGTTGCTCCCTACTTTTCTGTACTCCTTTTATTTGATTCCCTATTAGAGAGACATCTCCCTGAGACTAGCCTCCCACTCAGACGTTCTCAGGGGGTTCGTCACGCGTTCCTGTCCCACTAGGAACGCGTGACGAACCTCTAAGAACGTCTACGTGGGAGGCTACTCTGAGACGTGCACTTTTTAGTCATGAAAATTCCTTTAATTTCCAGCCCAGTCTTTGTGGGTCACGCATCACGTCTCCCGTTGCGTGACTACCCGCAGAATGACTTGTTTGAAAACTTTTTTTCAGGTTTCGTCTGAGATGACAGCGGGGCGGGTGTGTGCTGAAGTCGTAGCGATTAAGAAGTTGCCACCGAATATCGACTGGGTTTTATTTGAAGTCATTGATAATGGAGCCATGGGTGAGTACTGTACTATACAAGGGAAAAAGAAACACCTCGTTTGTAGCCAGAAATTAAATGACTTGTTGGTTAGAAACGATGTACATGCAGTGGATCCTCACCTTGCTTTGGGACACCTCTATTCACGGGACTCTTGCTCGGGCCCCATGGTATGTCCTGAGTAGAAGTTCCATTGTATTATGGCATGGAGGAACTGCATGCCGATATTTGGACTAAAAGTATTTTAAAATCTTTCATTTGGTTACTGCTCGCTTTGACTTAGCTTATCAAGCTCTGGGTGGCTTCAGATGACCTTCGTTCAACCAGTTTTCATGACATATTTCACTTAAAGGCCTTACTAAAAACTATGTTACTTTGTGCCTCTGTCGTTTTTGTCTTACTTGGCTATTTTCCTCACTTTTCCAGAGCGTGCATTCCAAGTTCGAGAGAAAGTTCTTGCTGCTGCAAACTGGGGAAGTGGTAACTACCTCATCGTCAAGGAGAATTATATCGCTGAGCAGATTAATCCTCACGTAAATATTGTATTTTGTCCATTTTGGTAAAGATAAAGATTGGTAAAGATTTGAGGTCACAGCTGTGACTCAAACTCGGGACCTCTCACACGTAAGGCCGCACAGTAACCAAATGTGTCAATCCTTGCTCGTGGTAGTTTGTTGTTGTTGAAATAAAGAAAAAATATAATTCTTTTCTGAATTAAAAAATGGAAATATCCAACAAACCATCGTTTTAGTTTTGTTGGAGCAGGGATGATGCAGTGGAGAGAGCATTCTCCTCCCACCAGTGTGGCCCGGGGTTGAGTCCCAGAATGGACGCCACATATGGGTTGAGTTTGTTTGTTGTTTGTTGTTGGTTCTTCTATCTTCTCTAAGAGGATTTTGTCCCGGTACTTCGGTTTTACCCGCTCCTCAAATACCATCATATCATAAGTTTAATTTGTACTGGAAAGTGTCTCCAAATTTGTAAGAACTCTTAGAGGGCCATAGGTTTATCAGCAGTTCTTGCCAATGTCAAGTGTCACCAGATGTATTTTTGTTTTCTTTTTCCCGTCAGGTCGGTTGGCTGTCAATTGAGGGCACTTTGCACATGCGGGAACCTAAAAAGGGCTGGAAACAGTCTCACTTATGCTTGAAGAATGGCTACCTGTCAGTCAACAAAGAGAGAGGGGTCAGTTCAAATTCGCAATTTATAGTAGTCAAAACTGTGTTAAATCGATTGGGTAACCACACTCACCTGCTATTGTCGAAATCACTTCATCGCTTATCATTGTTTGGATTACTTTTGAAGTAATGAAAATAATGAGAATTTGGCCAATTGCAATGGGAACGAAAAGGCACTGAGGGAGGGAGGGCCGAGGCACTTACACTAGGCGCGTAGAGACATTAAGCGAACTATCAACTGCCTTCCTTGTCCTCAGGCTCTTTTCTGTTTCTAACTAAAGGCAAGAAAAGAGAGGATCCTGGGTACGAGCCTATGCCTTCCCTATTCTTTCAAGTCCCTGCAAGGCTCGTTAGTTTTAATCTGAGCTCTGATATTTATTTCAGCTGATTGCAAAAGCGATTAAATCTGACAAATCTGAACCCGAGCAATGGCCTCTTCATAAACTGACTTTGTATGTGGGAGTTCCAGCCGAAAAAGCAACCAAAGGAGTCGACACAAGGTAAGTGGCGTCCTTCATTTTAACCGTTAAAAGATGTTTTATTAGCTTATTAGTATGATTATGGCTGCAATTTTATCCCACTGTAACAAATTTTAAAACAGTGACTACCATTCTTTGTCTCGTTTTATTCATGTTCTTGATAAATAAACGTCGATGAATAACAAAACACGATGAGGTTGGTAATTTTACCTAGTTTCGTGATGTCTGGTTGGCTAGTGTAAAGCCGTGAGCCCCAAAACTCCTCACATATTCGTTTTGTGATAACCATAAATTCATGTCTAAGCTATTACACAGTAAAAACGAACCCAAAGTCATCGGGCGTGCAAAATTGGAAAAAAAATTGATAAACGTTAATATGAATTCGTGGTCTTTGGTGAGTCCCAGATGACCTTGAAATGGCCATTTACGTCTCTTACCTTTGTTGTGTTACTGGTCGATTTGGCAGCCATGAATGCTTACGCGTTTTATTCGCATCTCGACTGTTTGCGTTAAACCTTTGCCTGTACTGTACGGCGTTTTGGCGTTTATCGCGCCCTTGCGACGGTTGATGTTGGCGATAGCCGGAAACTTTCATATCTTTGTCCGCGGTTCAAAGTATGAGTCATTTCATACATTTCCAGTTCACTCTCTATTTTTTAGACAGTAGTTTTTTGTTCTCTCTAGTTGCGGATTTACTATTGTTGTGAAAACGGATCAGGAGGAAATCACTAGGTAAGTAATAATCAGAATTAGAATCGGAATCATATCCATAATAATTCTTACAAATATTTTTCAAGTCGGCCTCTCATCACTGAAAAGTTGTTTTCGAGAGGTCCCTCTTTTTTATTTTTGTACTTGACAAAGGTTGCCCATCGCGCCAAGAAACATGAAATTATAGGAATAAAATATGTGAAATACAACAAAACATTTTTCCGGTTGTCGCCTCTCTCAAGCTAGGATAAAAACCGATTAGTTATAATATTTTTCAGCGATAATATGGAAGAGGGGTGAAGATCTTCGCCCCTTGTTCCGGTTAGATAACCTTTTAGTAAAGTTTTTACTATTGTTCACGAGGTTTGTGCTTGCAAGAGGCGTCTCTCTTGAATAGAGACAGAGTTTGTTCCTGATTGACACTCGCTAACCGTTCCATTTACTTTCGTCATGGACAGGTACATTTGCGTAAAGGATAAACGAGACTTGAATCGCTGGTTGGCAGCCATACTGAATATGAAGGTAATTTTGCAGCTGATCAGATTTGAGTTTAAGTTTCTGAGTTGCACTAGTCTATAAATTTTCACTCTCTCTCTTCAGTGAGATCTCAGCTTGTTCCTGGCTCTCAGTTAGCTGGGACGAGCAAAAAGGGCGAGAATAAGAAGAGTAGGCGATGTCTCTCTCCACTCCTCGCCCGTTTAATTTTTTCGCAGTCGCAAAACAACCTGCGAAGATCTTCACCAGGTCACTTTTGATCCGTCTCTGAGTCCTTTGCCCTTTTGGGTTCAAGTGAGTGCTTGTAGCCACCTTGGATTCGTCACATGCGCTCATCTCTTGAACGTACTCAATCATTATGTGACTATAATCTTCATCTATTATTTTTTGCATCAGCATCCTGAAGGGATTTGGTACGATCCTTCGCAGAAGGAAACAATAGCATCCTCATCTTCTGTAGGACCTCAGGTATTGCTCTTGCATATTATTATTATTATAATATTATAGGTGACGAATTACTCCTTAATTTTGGCGCGAAATCTCAGCGTTAATTTGTAATTACACATGTGAAATTACAAAATTGCCATGGCAACCTTCCGTACGTCTCAGTGTCAAGATGGCGACGAAGTTTTAAAATGCCGTGAATGAAGATGTCAGGGCACAAAAAGAAGCTTTAGAAAACCTGAACACACAAGAGAACATCAAGAAGGATTCTAACAGGTATTTTGCCGAAATAATCTGAAAAATTCTGAACTTTATAAGCCAAATTTAAGGTCTAAACATTTGAGAGAGTGGAGTTCTCGATCGATCCGATCCGGGATAAACATGTCAAAAATCCAAGGTTGCTAACGTAATTCGTCTCCCATGATATTAATAGGTAATCAAATGGTATACTCGTGAAATTATTCCCTAATTTCACTCGTCTCCATTTGATTACACATACTTATTATTATTTTGTGGGGGTGGTGGGGGGGAGGGGGGAGGGGGGGGAGGGGACTATTCCATGAGGTACGAAATACTCAACGCTTGCAGTAAATTTTTCGGCAAGCATCTGAAGCTATTTCAGAGATCAAACGGTCGTACAAAGGTTGTATTCCAGATAGTAGTGATGAATAACTTTGTTTTGTATTTTCGTTTGTTTAACTGTAATTGGACGTTACTTAAATTGTGTTTGTTGTTTTCTCTCTTACAGCAGACGGACGATTTGCCCATGTTTCTGGGAAGGCAGGTATGTTGCTTAATCATTTCTCATCTGTAGTGATTGTAATAGTATTACTCGCCCGATTACACCCGAATTTTAACCCAATCTTTCCTATTACCAATTGTGTCAATAACAAAATGCGAGAATTTAAATATTTATTTATGTAATCACAAAGTTCTTACTACATCAGCTTAAAAGCTTTTAAGGCAAAAACATCGCTTACAGCGTCTGGTGAAATCGGGATAAGGACATCCAACTGCGTGAATTTTTCTTAAAATTCTTTTCATAAGAATTAAATGTGTCAATATTTTAACAAAATGCGAGAATCTTATTAATGGAATGTTACATCTTGTTAACACACCTGAGAGGTTTTACTTTATATGTTAAGTGTTCGATGTCTTTTACCCCTCAGTCGGCAGTCCTTCGACGAAAAGGCTCCTCAAAGCATGTCATGGATGAACTGAGAACAAGACAGAAATCCTTAAGACGGTCTACAGCCAGAAATCCTCAAACTTAAAAATGGAAAAAATGTATTATTGGTCATAAAGATGGAACATTGTTGTAAATAGGAAATTTAAAATTTAAAAAATAATAATACAGTATGCGATATATTGCAATTCAAAAGCTGTGGCTCAAGTTTGAACTTGCAGTTGACAGTGTAGATAAGATCAAAGATGATTTCACAGAGCTTTGTGAAATTACACTCAAATTAAAGCTTAGTTAAATTCAATTCATAAATATTGTGGCATTGGATGATTGGATGGCGCAATAATCGTGTGGTCATAAAAAGTTTGGATAGTTTTCAGGAAACAAACCCGTAGCTTAGTGTGAACATACCAAGTTTTATAATCCAGAATTATTCGGAATAATTTGTGCTCTGAAAATAGACTCTAAAAGTAATCATTGTTGTGAAAGAAGCCCAGTTATTAATTTCGAGGGACGGTGGGGGCAGTCAAAGTTGTTCACCTCTCTATTCATCTCTGTAGGTACAAACGTTGATCGATAAATTCTTTGATTTGCCTGTCAAACCATTCTGTGGGGTTTTAAGGGAAAAGTTTTGTACAATACCTAGTAAAATTAGAACGTTTTGCGATGTAAATTGAACCACTACAGGAGCCCCTGACCACTATAAATCGCATTCTGTAAACTATGATGGACGGTGTCCACTTTTATTACTGCTCATATTTTCTGCGCATCACAGGATAATCGCGCCGTCCTTGATTAACAAGAACGCTGGCGTCTCGGACGTCATGAATGGTAGCGTGCGTAGCAAGCTTTTCCAATCGAGTTATTGCGCAAAAGGTAGATTTTTTTGCTCTCGTCCCAACTTTTCTCGACGAACTCGCGCGGAAACGCTTGATACGCAGGCTACATGAATGGCAACCGGAAGTTTGGTTTTTCGCTTGATGAAACACTTGTGTCTGACATACCTCGTTGAAAACTTTTGTTGAACTCCAGTAGCATGATGTTATCGAGTCAGAAAACTGATTAAGAGGAACGATCAACTGTCAGTTGTTATGTTGACTTCCGGACGTCAATATACAACTTGCTTAAGGTTGCCTACACTAGGTAACGAAAAAAAATATTGCGACACAGTCGACACTTCTGTAAGGTGACTTTTTTTTCCTTTTCTAAGGGTGTCCGCCGACGGGAGATTCGACTATTTGATTAAGGCTTTTTATGTGATGTAAAAACTGTGTCAAAATTTGAAAGAAATTTTAAAAGAATTGATAAGAAAGACCTTCAAAACTTAGTTGGGTTACGCTTAAGACTAAGCCAAGGTTAATCCCTAGATTCAGCGAAAGGGCGAAGTGACGTGAAGTCTTATAGACGTTTTAGAATTTAGAATCTTTAATAGAAATAAAATACTTAGCTTTTAAATAGGGGTATAAACAACTCTGTTTAATATAAAAACAGTTATGACGTCATTTTGTTAATTTTCTTATTTTTGTACAAATAAACATTTAAAATACTAGTTAAATGGAAGATTTTTTTCCCCAGGACAGGCATATTTTTGTCATATATTCAAAGAAGTGTAATAAAATAGTATTGTTATTCTGTCGTCCGAGTATATGCTTCTGCATCCATACTCCCAGGGAAGCCCCTTGGCATTGTTCACAATTTCTTTCAGGTTTAAAATTAAAAGAACTCTTCAGTAGTATAGAAGGATTCGCTTACTCCTTTTGTTGTTCAGGAATCAGTAAATATCAGTCGTTATATCGCGGTTCCACTGTAGCTAAGGGACCGGCAAAATTTGTTCGGTATACCGAGGTTTCGTTATATCGAGGTTCTTATTCATATATTTTACTATTGCTGAGGTTAAGAAAATCGTTCGTTATACCATAGTTATTAGAGGAGACTGGTTATGAAAAGCGGCAAACATCAATGATAAGAACAACAGTGCTGCAGTTTATGTTGGAAGTACCGTGAAAGTGCACAATCCTTTGTTTTCTGTTGGCAAATTGTTACGGAATAAATTAATGCAACGTTTTTATTGGTAAATACAATCAAAATGATAGGAATTCTTTTGAACGTTGTGCAGTTTCAGGTCCACAAAAACATATAACAAAGGAGTCTGACGGGTTTCATAACCATTCCACTCAATTAACTATGGTTATACCGAGGACCCGCGCTCTACTATCTGAACGCCTGGAACAGGCTAGTTGCTCGGCGCCGTCTTGAATATTCATTGTAAAAAAGCTCGATCTTGTGACGTCAGTGGTCAATAAAATATTCGGATTAGCGTCCACACGTTTCCGGATCATAGCGTATTCAAATATTTCCACTCTGGAGAGAGGACTCGTATCCCGGATTCACCGGATACGTGTAGACGGAAGCCGTATCCGGAAAGAAAAAGTTGTCGATTCAAAAATATCTGGATACGTGTGGACGAGACCTTAATGAGATTTTCCCTCATTTTTTTCATGAGCTAAAGACAAAAGGCTTTGACGTCATCGGTGTTAATGTATTCCAGGAGCATTTTCACGTCGTGGTCGTGCAGTTACGGCAGAGAAATGTACAAAAAACGAATTCAGGGGCGAATACAACAGCGTTGCCAAATACAAAGTTAAAGCTGCCGTATGGAGCCCCAAAGAGGTAAAAGCAAAAGCGGACACGAACGTTAGTGAGTACTACACTTTCCCTGCCATTTATTTTTATGTAATATGAACCTGTAAGATACCTCCACTAGCTTGATAATACAAGTGAGGCTATGGAGTTAACCTCGGCACTACCGTGAACAAATCTTTCTAGTGGTTAGAACGTGAGAAACGTTGGGCCACCTGATTGAAAGTCCATCTCGGCAACGCTGCCTCCAACACGGAGGCGGACACGAGCGAGGGTTCACTGTACAAAGAAAATATTTCCCTCCATCTGTAACACTGTATTTTTTATCTCGCATGCAGAGTTTCCCGCTGGGATGGATTTCAATGGCAATTGGCCATTTTAAACATGGATGGAAGCGAGGCTGACGGTGACCTTGAGTGCTTACCATTTATACGGAAATTTCGGTGAAAAATTTCCGTCAAATGGTACTGTATTTTTTGGGGCACCGAAAGCAGGAACGGGATTGAGTTATACCATTTACAAAATACCGAAAAAAATTTTCACTTTCTCTCGACATGAAGCCTGACACTGGTAATCCAAACAAATGGTACAGAAAATTTCGGTCGTTTCGGTAAGAACGGGAAAAAGGTACTTGGGTACCTCGAAAGGTATTACTTATTTCCGGAAAATCTCCACCGGGATGAACCGTTTCATTTGAATTCTCCCCGAAATTTCCGGGTTTTCCATACAAATGGTAAGTGCTCCTTGTTTTGATACAAACCTTCCTGCTTTATTATGTAAATCAAGTTATTCTTATGCTAACTAGTATTTTTCAAGGTCAATTTCCATATCAAAGCAAAGGAGGTGTATATCAAAACAAGGTCACCCGTCGGCCTCACTTTAACTCAAAGTCCAGGGTACTAAGTTCACAACTGTAAAAAGGTCCATTAAAAAGCGCGCAGAGGAAGATCAGAAAAGCGATAAGGTACCTTTTCCCCTTCCCATCCTCCTCTGCGCGACTTCCTTTTTCCCCTCCCCAACCTCTCCGTGACACAGAGACCTCGGCGGAGGAGTGTTCAAGGGCTGTATTTTACTCGAGACACCCAGCTCTTGCGCTTCTGGATACTGTGTTGCAGCATTTTATTTACAAGATGCCTACATTAAATATCTATAATCCCTTAAAATAGTCTTCTGTGGTCAAAGACCAAAATCTCCGTCGTCCTTTTAAATAAAATCCCTGTTTCCTTTTATTAGTGATTTCTGAAGAATATCTCGGGACCTGTCCTTTGTAGTTCCTCGCCTCTGTCTTCCCATCTCGTTTTGAACTCCAATATGAATCCGAATCGGAGTTTCATCAGCCATTTCCACGTTCATCTGGCGCTATAACCAGCAAATCCCTTCCTATCTTACAGGATCGTTTGATTTTAAAGTAGTGTTTTCAAAAAAAATACTTGATGCAGAAAGCCAGAAAACGTCGGGGTTGTGAAACACGTAGGAAAAATCATTTAGCACTGTCCAGTTAAAGAGAGATGACAAAACATTATTTAAATCTTCTCGCGTAAAACGTTCTATAATGATCGATAAATTGCCTAAAACGCAACGTAAAAATATCTCCGCAGTAGTTGTAATAACAGGGCTCTATAATGTCGTGGATAATTACTCATATAATTTTGAAATACAAATCAATGTTGATTAGTGAACCATGGAGTACATTCCGGTGGTTTGTATTGGCGGCAAAAAGCCAGGGGCTTCACTTGCTTCGGACAGCTGATTGACTTGTATTTCTCGGTATTGAGCTGGGTTACTATCAACTTCTCCGTCTGAAAATAACAAATAAACAAATAAATTAATAAATATTTCAACCACTTCTGGCAAACTGAAGATCCGAGAAATAACAGTCGAAAAAATGATCAAAGAGATACCACTTTGCCTGCATTAGGGAGCTTAACCAACGACGACAACGACGACAGTGAAGACGTTGCTAAAAATATGAATTTGCATCCTTTTACACTTTGTCGCGTCTATTTGAACCCGCCAAATTTGACAAATGATGTAGGCGATTTTCCTGGAGTTGAATCCTTAAGGACTTTATCCAAGCTCAAAAAGAGACAGGACAATTCGTCGTCCTCTGTTCACGTCCTATATAAAACGTTGCATTAGGAGGCTTCACGTCGTAGTCGTGAAGCCTAGACGCCAAAGAAATGTACTTTAAAAGCGTGATGCGCGTACAGAGCTGCTGTTTTTTTTCGTTAACCCAATTGTTTTTTTTGTTTTTGACATTGTGGCTGTCGTCCTCGTCGTGGTTACGTAAGCTTCCTATTACGGGCTCTGTGTTTCATGGTTCCAATCAGATTCACATGAGTCTCGTGGTTTATGCTGTGCAGAGCTCTGAACCTTTCTAATCCCGGAGTCACGAATGACTCTCGTCATGAAACGTCATATATGTATAGTTGTAACGTTTGAGACTGTGACCAATGGTAGGGAGTGGTGTTCAGGATTAAACTGTCTCTCAAAGATTTGTCAGCAAATCTTTATTTTTTAAAAAAAACGAGTAAGCGCATACATTGTTCACAATTTCTCTTTTTCTCTCCCATAGACTGTTCACAACTTCTCTTTTTTAGGGATAACTGCGATAACGAGTCACTTGCGTTCTGTTCCTGTTCACTTATTCATCATATAAATAAGGAAAAGCCTGTGACCAGAGTCTATATGGGAGAAACCGTTGTCGTTCAGAATCCAAGTGAGAAGGTGTAAATCTGGTTTGACAAACAAACTCGCACAGAATGAAAGAACTTACAATTATACTACTAATTCTATCATGATAATACATGGATTCTTCACTAACCGTTTTGTCCGGCTACATCTGTTTGGTGCCTATTTAAGATCCCTTCTTCGTAGTTTGGCGGAGGAACTTTCCTTGGACATAACTGGCCAAGTGTTGGACGAATACCAAATCGACCTGTTAAATAATGAACATAATTAGTTCCTGTTCCATTTACATACCCGGAAAGTTCTATACTAAGGTTTCTTTTACTTACGCGGGTCCTCTACTCTTTCTTGTCTTCTGTGTTCTAAATGCGTGTTTATGATAGCCTGGGCCTAATAACAAAAAGAAAACTTGTTATTACAGTGAAAAAGGAGAGGCTCTTCCAAGCTAGTCTGAGTGCCTGCTTGCACATAAGACTCAGGAATAATAACCAAATTTTACAGTACAAAAATATTCCTACCTTCTGTCTACAAAGAATTCGATCAGGATCAGTTGTCAACTCGGTACTTGCAATATTATTTTTGATTGCCTAAAATGAAGATGTTAGAGAATTATTACAAAAAATAACAATTATCATAAAATAGGAGAAGTCAAACTTATGACAGTCAAACTGTAAGCTCTTTGAGGACAACTGCAGAGTAAGGCGATATTGGAATTGTTGTAGGGCACCAACAACACGGTTTCATAACTTGTGCCGTTGGGGAATTGTTAAGGATCCCATTTCATGGGCATTCTTAAAAGGTCCTGCGTGCTTATTTGGCAATGTACAAGTAAGAGTCTATCTCGTATACAAAATGTCCAATGTTTTTCAAGCACTACCACTGATCATGTAAGCATTCTGCATATGTACACAAAGCATGCAAAATGCCCATGTTGTGATATTTTCCTGGTAGATATATTTTTAGAAAAATTTAGAGTACATAAATCAAACTAATAAGAATTGGCATAAACTTAAGACACGATCGTTGCTCAACTTACCATTGCTGCTGTAGATCTTGCATGTGCAGGTAGTTGTTCCTGGTAGGTGCTATCAGTAAAGTTAAATTCCTCTTCCACAGCCGAACTTCTTATTCTACCCAAATGAAGACAAAATTTTCTTTTCAGCTAATGAAGTGTACATAGGATATTGCATGACTAAAGGGCCGTGTCGAGATATGAAACAAATGATAAATGAAACCTCTGGTCACTGGCTGGTGACGTAGTTAGTTATATTAGTCATACCAGTCACATAGATTCACAAAATAGAACTGTCTGTGGAATAAGGTACTAATGTCAAACTGTCAAATTCTTCCTTTAATTGATGAGCATATACAAGGAAAATTAGAAGGAGAATTTAGCAGTTAATCAGAGGTCATTTGAGGCTTTATTCCCAGCAACCCTTTGTCTCCCTAGCAAATATCAAAAACACTGAAATGGCAACTTCTACTATGTAATCCTCTCCGGGGGTGGGGGGGGGGACCACTCAAGGGAGGTTTGTGTAGAGATTGCCACCAAGGCCTTCAAACCCTGACCTTGTTTATTAAGAAAATAAAATCGTTTTCACTACTCTGAGTAAGACAAAAGATCTTATTTTGTGACCCTGGTTCATTTTATTTGGCATACAGATTTAAGCATTTTCATTTGTTCAACTTAACATGTAATAATTAGATTTTTATTGAAAAAAAGCTGGTACCATACATATGTAGACCATTCATTCCCAACCTTCACACTCTTTCAAGGTTATGTTACACGAGATGATTCGTAACGACGATTTTTAGTGCAACGCAGCATTGCAACATTGTTGTGACATTGTTTTGAATGGTTACAACATTGTTCCAACATTGGAACGCTGTGTTGGGCTAAAAGTTGTCGTCGCGAATCGTCCCGCGTAACATCACCTTTAGAGGCATCCAGTCCAAAAACACACCCCAAAGACACTAAATAGTGAAACTGTATACCCGTAAAGAGTCAATGCCCTGCAAACCATACCCTGTTCAGTGGTACATACCTGTTTAGGCCAAATAATGGAGTGCCCACCACCCCTGGTATACAGCCCAGTGATTCCAGGAACATTGAAAAGCCTAACTAAGAAGCATCACTACTTACACTCTATTTGTTAAGAGAGAGTAAATCTTTTCCATCAAAAGAGAAGCGGCATTAGGCTTGCAGTGAATTGTCCCTTCTATAATTTCCTTGGGAATACCAAACTCATGTCGCTGAAAAAACTAATAGATGAGAGACCAGAAGTAAATCAACATAAATGAAGCCCAATTTACATTTTAGAAAGGTTTTGGCTGTGCCACAGATGGGAAGAAGCTTCTGGTTAAGTCAATCTGCAATCCAGCACTGAAATTCATGTTCTGGGTCTCCACCTGTGTACCAGGATTTGAGTATGCACCATGACTGGCATGTTAAAAAAGCCATTGTTGATTTGCCAATCAGATTGAAGGAAAATTCAAAACGCATTTCTGGTAATTTGTTGAGTCCAATGGGGACCCAGAAGAAGGATATCAACCTGCTCCACAGTCATTACTAACTGGGTTTAGATTATGTCTGTGACTCAGGCTTTGAAAGGTTCAGCCTACAAGGAAAACCCTTTCTCTAAATTATGCATATTCAAAATTCCTCCTTTCCAAATAAATTATATATATGCTATTTTTATTTCCTTTATATGCAGTAGCTTTTGTATCAGCACCAAATTTCTTTTGGTAAATTTTGCAATGAGAGGCTTGGATTAATCTAAGGAGGCTCTCATGAACAATATGAGAACTCTTGTGATCTCTAGGTTTCTTTACTCTTTTTCTTGATCTGGTCCCTTCAGGAATGCTAAGAAAATAAATCTACTTATGTAAGACCATAGAAAGGTCTTATGAGCTAACATTTGTAATTTTTAGCTAGTTTAATTTTTTTGTGTTATTGAAATAAGCTTAACTTAATTTGGAAGAAGAAGAATTCTTATATTTCAGAAAGCTCAGAAAAATTGCGAGCTCCAGGATTCTTACCCTTTGCAGTTGCGACCAGTTTCCCTGTCTGCTCGGCAATGATGTTCCGTTGTCATAAGAATGCATTTCAATTTCTTGTGGATAGTACCATGAAAAGATTTCTGCTATTAGATATCCATTTGAAAAATCCCTGTTTGGAATGCAAAAGGCAACAAATGATCAAAACAGTGATGAAAGTTGTCAAAACGTATCCAGCCTCGTATAGTTAAAATACTCTTCTTTTTACCTCCTGGTATTTCTAACCGGGTGAGAAAGGTCCAAGCTTTGCATCCATTTCAGTATTTCTCGTGGTAAACCACTCATTTCCTTGTGTAACTCTGGTAAAATGAGCTTGATTGTAAAAGAAGATCTTTCTTAAAAGTTTGGTCGAGCGTTGTCCGGCTTCGTTGTCAAGGGAATTATTACCCACAATCCTTGTAGACAAAAGCTGCTGAAATATCGCGGGCTCGTGGACAAAGGCTTCTTTTGTGTTTGCACGATGCAAAGACTTTGAATCGGCGCGCTGATACTTTTTATCAAGAGAGTTCTACAATGATGATTTTACCCGCTGAGGTGAAGTTGGAGTCCTTCAAGTTGCATTGGAACTGTTGATTTTCTGTCTTTTTTGCACCAGTGCTGTCCTATATTGATACTTCACTTTTGAAAGTATCAATACAGAACTGCAGAACTGCAGTGGTGCCCCGAACCGGCTCTATGTAAAAAAACTCAACTCAATTTAAGCCATGCCGAGTGCAGTTAAGAACTGGTTGGGTGACCAGCCGGCCATCCCCCGGCTACCCGAAGGATCAAGATAAAAATATCTCAGCCCGCACTGACGGGATTTCCCGCGTGACAAATCCCGCAAAAAAGTTCTCCTTTAGTCCATATAATAAATATTTTATTAGCCAAGCTTGTTTGGTCGAGACTGCTGTAAATTGGCCTCGTTCGCTAAAAAAAACTTGGCCAATATCCAGTTCTCTTGACTTCACGCTTGAACAGTGCTTGATCAATAACGCATATCAGGAGCTTATCTTTACTTATTACCCAGTTATTATCGTTCGGGTGAGCAGCTTGTGTTATGAAGGCGTCACGAAAGGAGCTTTACTGATTTTAAGACGATATTTTGACCTATGTCTCGTCTTTAACACTGTTCGAATTTATATCAAGATGAGTTAACTGCCCCTCCAAATGAGTTAGGAGAATTTCGCAAGAAACCACGTTGCTCAAGATAAAATCTTATTAAAGCTGTACAAGGGAGAAAATATATTAAAGGAAAATTTCATTAAACAAATCACTCTATTAAACAGACCAAGTTTGAAATGTATTTAATAAGCACGTGCTTTCGTTATTAGAACCCTTAATCAAACATAAATGGCAATCAAAACATAACCGTCTACAGGAAAACCACCAGTAAGTCACCTGCTTGCACTCGTTACGGTTTTTAGCCGCCGCTAGGACAGATTCTTTCCGCCTAAACAGTAAATTCAGCTGGAATCACTGACTTGGAACGAACTTTAAGAGGTCCTAGCGCGATGCACGTGTCATCAAAAGTACAATTTTATATTTCTGATCAGTCAGTGGCTCTAAGCAACTAAATCAGCACCATGTGGAGAACAGTTGTCTGGCCTTTTAAGGGTTTTTTATTCGTCCGCGGTGAGCGGTGAGTGGACACAAAAGTTTTAAAGATTTCTTGTTTTGAATTTTAATCGAGTTCATTGTGTCTTTTAAACACGTGGTTTGCTAAGGCTCGCACATGTTTGGTCAGTTAGTGTATTGTTCTTTTTTATTGTTTCAGCGTTGCTCAGTTGTTAGCTGTTAATTCAAGCATGAATACGCAAGAAAAGTTCTTTTTCATTTTAGTTCTGCCCCTCAAAAAAAGACTTCTAAAAGACATACAGAAAAGGTCACATTTAATGTCTTTGTGTACACTTGGTTAGAAAAAAGCTTTTTATAAATTGACAAAACCACAGCTAATGTCAAGACTACCCTGTAGCTGTTTCACAGCAACACAAAATACTTGGTAAATATGTAGTTTCGCGCGAAATATTAAACTCCCCACAATTTGAACCAATCATATCGCGGGAAAAAAAGTTGAGCCACCCGCTAGCCAATCAAAAGGCAGTATGCATCGAGTTACAACAGGTGGACTATAGAGAGAGGTTGTATCATAAATTTAACATTATCTTTAGTCTTAAGCGACAGGTTCCCGGTTATAAAAAAGTCTTTTGTAAGTCTCCTGTCAAAAAGATTCTTTGTTTGGAAGAAAATTGCATGATTCAAAGGAAAAACTGTCTTTTATTCAAACCGTTCCTCTGGAAGCGAAGAGCTGAATCTGTCGATTCTGGAAGATCTCTGGGGATTTTTCATGTCACCCATCTGATCTTTTTCAAAGGAGAATAGCATTGTTCTCCAGTTTCGCGAGGAATTAAGAAGTTACTGGCATATCTTTCGTAGTCTTTCGTCAAGTGCGCAACGTAAAATCGAAAAGGCAGTGAAGTGACAATTGCATTCTGGCGGATCACTGAAGGTCGAAGATCGTTTCGTTCACAACAAGCTAGGTTAACTGAAGGTTTCCCACAAATCGAAAATGGCTGAGACCAGCGAAATTAAATTCAGCTTGGAAATTACCTCTTATTCTCCCGTGGCCTCGGTAATAGCACTCTATTGCCTTATGACAATTGGTGTAAATATTTTCGTTTGCTACTACATTTACCGCAAGAGAAGCCTTCGCACGTCTTGCACCGCGCTCATTGTGGCAAATTTGGCCGCTGTGGATGTTTTGGTTTCAATCAAAGATTTACCACTGCTGATCTCTGTTGCCTCAAGTGGAAAATGGTACTTCGAAGAGCATTGGTGTCGGAGTTACGGTCTCACAAACGTAATCTACATAATTGTGTCGATTTCAACGCTCGTTACAATCACAACTGAACAGTTTTACCGCATGACTGAGGGACAAAATATTTCGGCTTCTAGTTCCAGTCGTACAATCCCGTTGGGTTACATCATCGCGCACACAACGCTCTCCTACTCATTATCTTTGTTATGGAGCAAGTACGTGTTTATCAGCAGAAAAGCGTTCTGCGAAGTTGATTGGCCGCCGTCCGGATTGAGTTTTACCCTTGTCACTTCCTGCATTTTTCTGATCCCTGTGTCGCTTCTGATTTACAATTTCTTCGGAAGCGACTCCGAAGAGAAAGAAACTTCCGACAAAGACAAGCTAGCTAAAATGGAGAACGGAGAAGGAGAGAGTGAAGCAGACAAAGCCCACTGTCGCCTGCAGCTCGCCATCACGGTGTTTTTGATCACGTGGTCACCTTACGTGATAGAGAGCTTTTTCACGTATTCCTCTGAAGTTCCGAACATCGCTGGAGTTGTGTCAGCCTTTCTTCCAATCTTGACCACAACACTTATTCCTCTGTGGTTCATCAAGTGGCGAAGAGAGGCGGACAGACTTTACCCCGTCATTTCGTACGTCCAGAATTGTTAAATGTGGAATCTGTAAATTCATCCTGGAACCGTTTGGGAAACAAGTCCACTTAAGGTTAATATTAAAATTGATTTTACTAGGCGGCAAAAGATCAGTCATCAAAACATTCAGTAGTTGGTCCTGGCGAAGCAAGTGTCTGAATTCGTCAACACGGACAAGACAATATTGCCCGCGATAGACGAGCTTAAAATTAATTTAAGGTATAGATTATATTACTTCTAAATTACTTGCGAAAGTTTTTAAAACCGGAAGTGTTTTATTTTTCTGCATATGCAGATTAAATAAATTAATCGGTGAATTACAAACCAACCGAGGAAAAGAATCGGGTGGCATCAATGAATTTTGAATGAAAAAGTTTTATCCCAGAAAGAGAGTTAAATTTTCTCATTTATGTAATTAGTACATGGTCCTAATCATGAATTTTTATTGAATTCTAAAATGATTTATAATGGTTTATTGCCATTAATCACAAAGATATGTTTCTCAGTTTTATCATTTGTATTTGCTTGGGGCCTTATGAATGTCAAAAAACGCAAATAAAAGTCATTTTCAATATCACTTGTACGCATGCAGTTTTAATGAGATTGGAGCCCATATTACAAATACATTGTTTAAGCCTGTCGCGCTGTTTGCATTATACGGCGTAAGAACTTAACAGTTTTTAAACCGAGATGTTTTTCAGTAAGTAGCCCGGCTTTAATTTAAGCATGCCTTTTTTCTCTGTAGAACAGTGGTTGCCTTCATATTCCTTCTCCTCTCTTGTTCGACTTACCAATTTGTAAGCGGAGAAGGCAACACTCAATGATTAACACAAGCGCCTTTGAGCGTGTATTATATTTGAACTTGACACAAGACAATACCCTCTCTCTGGCCGAGCTAGAGGAGCATGAAGCCTTACTCTGGCTGCCAAGAATCTTACGGCTTTGTTAATCAACCCTATTCATTTGCTTCAACTGTCAATTTTTGTCTCATGTTATGTTTCCCATCTCCGGCAGTTTTGGGTCAGATGTGGATGTGTATATTGTTGGAGGAGGCAGGAGTTACAGAGAAATTTCTGCCTTAAGCAGGGGCCATTTGCCTTAAGTCTTAAATAGATAAAAAAATTCTCAGTGGCGCATGTTAGTTCATTTTCACTTTCACTTGGATGGCTCAGCAGTTTACATAATTGATAAAAAAGACTCAGCTCCGTCGAGCAAAGCACTCAAGACCAATGAGGTGGCTAAACGTGACTGGGGGAGGAGACGAAAGAGGCGCGAAAAAGCTGCCGCGCTCTCTTTTCGCGTCTCGCTGTTTTGTCACGTGTGCGTGTGCCAGAGAAACGTCATTTTCCAGCCTCGTTCCCAGGGCTGGTGATTTTCTAGGTTCACATGTAAAAGTGTGTCTTGGCTTCGTACTACTAGAATCAGCGATGTCGAAAGCGTACCAGACTAGCTAGGGGGCTTGAACAAAAAGATCAATTTAGGTTGCTGGGAAACTCCCTACCCGCCCCTCCCCCATAAAATTGATCCTAAAAAGGCGTTTTTGAGGGATGCATGTCAACTGGAAGAGAGGAGTTTTTAATTTGCGTTATCGCTACCAAAATGTAATTTGTGATTACACCGTATTATCATAAATTACTATTTTGCCGGCACGTATTAGAGGTCTGGGGAGGATGTTAGTGCGCAGTGAGTCATGGGATTCGAGTTTGTAATTCGTGGTCGTTAGGAAGGTGAGGCATTCTACGGTCAGCCTTCACCGTGTTAGGTTGCTTTTCTCTCTTTTATTTTATTCGTGTGTTTATTGATGTTTATAGTTTAGGCACTAGCATACCCTAAAACCCCAAGGGTTGCACCACTGCCTTGGTCGGGGGTACACGTTCCCCGTGTTTTTTCCACCTGCTGGTTTTTTGGGGTTTTCGTGTCCGGCTTTGGTGCTTCTGTTCTTTCTTTTATAGATATTTGTACATATCTGCATATATGTTGAATAAACGGCACGGTGGCTTGGCTGGCCCACGCGCCCATATGTAAACATTGTTGTCTTGTGTGTACCGGTTGAGTAGTGGAGGCAAAATTTCGTGTTTCTAGAAGTCTTTACTCTTATAAGAGACGATCTGGGCGAAAATTAGGGTAAAACCACTGCCCACCAAAATGCAAAAAGTCCATTTCCGGTTGACGTGTGTCGCCAACTTTAGACTCCTTTGCTTTAAAAGATCCCTGATATATCATAAAGGATATGTTCACGTCTCGGAATGAGACAGATGAAAGACTATGAACCATATTTTGGTTATATTTTAATACCTATTTGAAAAACTCAGAATGGAAGAGGCGACTTAGAAACATTTTCAATTGGCAAAAATTTTAAAGAAAGTTAGTACACCCATGCTAAAAATATCATTCCGGGGATTAATTTACTTTCAGTCCGCCGATTAATCTAAAAACAGAAAAGAAAAAAGTGTACACTTCAAATTCACCCCACCCTTCCTCCCCTACACATTCATTCATTTGTTCGTCTGTACCAGGCTCCCATCTGCTATCGTTCCCGGTAATCCTTGCGCGACATGGTAAATATCTCTTCACTTCCGATGTATAATACCTTCTCTCGCTGTGAGTAACTTTTTTTCTCTAAAACGTCCTGTGGATGGCGAACTTTGACGCAATTTTTGATGAAAATCTTCAAGAGGACGAGCAAGTCTCTCAGGTTTCTGACGAACTTGTTCAAGTGACCCCAGAGCCGGTGGTCATTCGCGGCGTAGGACATATGACTGTGTGAGTTGTGTTTACGCTTTTCGAGAGCATTCACTCGAAGTTCATATTTGTTCTGTGCCTTTTTGGCTCTACTTACCAACTACATTATACCTTGCAATGGCACAAGTTAATTGCTTTTTCCATTGGTTGTTCTTCTGGCTTATAGATTTGGTCTCAATAGCAAATTTGACGTGGAATTTAAGCAAGGACTCAGCGCTAAGGTAGGGATTTTCTTTGGGAGCTGACATGTGCGCGTGGTCGTTTTATAAGGAGCTGGACGCCTTATAAGCTTATATTTTCCGCTTTTATTTGACGTTTGTGTTGCCTCAGTGTAGGAAATCCCAAAATACTTCATAAAAAACAATGATAGTTCAATGTCTTGCACCATTCGTTGACGAAAAAAAAACTTTACTCAAGATAAATTTGTTCTCTAATTTTTTGTAACAAATTGAACGTTTCTTTGTCCGATCGAGTATCAGCCTATTCTTAAATTTACCATGTGTGTGTGTGTGTTTTTTTTATCTGTGCACGAAGTCTGGATCTGTAATTGGCTAATGTTGAACAGTTGAATTCGAATCCAGCATTTCGTCTTCTTGGATGATACGACCCTGTATGTGTGTTCCAGGAAAATTGATTTGAATCGAATAGGAACGGTGCAGGTGAATAATTCGTTAATTTTAATTTCATTTTTGTTTAAGCTTAGCACTTTTATAAAGCGGCCACCAGTAAACGCCGATATTTGTAAACAACCCCCTTTTGGTTAGGGAACAACAATAGCAATTTATCCAAATCAGAGTGATAAACTCTGCTTTACATAATTAAGCATCCATGTTTTAAGACATTTGTGCTCAGGTTTTGCCTCTGAGTGATCAGTGATGATTTATGCCCTAGTAGTATAAGGAGTATGAGATACTGGTTGCTACAGGGTCAGAAGTCACTTGGGTTTTTTTCTTCTTCATACTGTTGATGAATAGGCATCTTACATTTAGAAGTGACTTGATGTTAGTGTTGGGAAATGACTGAAATATTATAATCAGTTATCAGAAATAATTGTACTGACCCAGCATATCAATCATCAAATGTAAACAGGAAAATTGCTCTTTAAGAATTCCATTTATAATAAGGAGAGCCACTGTACCATGATTAAGAACAGAAGAAAAACATACAAAATGTATGAGAAAAGGGACATCAATATCCTGTAGCTCAGTGGTTAGAGTTTCCAAGCTAGTGAGAACTTGGAGGGTTGTGAGTTAAAATCTCACCTGGAGCTTGTGATAATTTGATGATCATCCTTTTGTTCTTTATTATGAGGGTCATTAAAAAGACAACACACAAGTTTCTAATATGTTTATTTGCCAACAAGAATTTTATTTTTTCCCATGATAATCAATTGAACATTTTCCATGAGCAGTTATCGCATTGTTTGAAGATTTAGATTGATGATCGATTATAATCGAAGATCGGCACACACTACTACATGATGTAGATGGGGATACCACCTAAAAAGGGTGTATACAATGTATCAACTGTTGCTAATGCTTGTTGTTCAAGGCAAATTCAGAATCTTGTTATTAATATATTTTTATGCCTACACTGTAGGTTGCCCCTGAAGAGTACAAAGCAACTGTAATGAGAGTCAACAGAGTTCTTAGTAAAACAATGCCTGTAAATGTACGTTGGTTACTTTGTGGTTGTATCTGTTGTTGCTGTACTCTTGGCATGTCCATGTGGCCTGTTGTTTGTCTAAACAAAAGAGTAAGTAGTTATGCTGTTTTAAATAGACTAAGGGTCTTCTTGAGTACATTCAAATCTGTTTAAGGTGTGGTCCTTTGCCAGTTGATAAGTTCTTCTTTTCCTATCATGTTGTATGGAGATATTAGAGTCTCTGTCTACTCTAAAACTTGTTTTGAAATCAAGTTCATGCATTTATGTATGTATATATGTTACAAATAGGTGTTTTGAAAATCATATTAAGAAACTTATTGTATTTCCAATTTGGTACTTGAACCAACTGATCAAACATGTTCATTCAATAAAGTTCATGATTAAAAATATCTATCTATGTCTTAGATTAAGTTACTTAGTAGATTCCTGCAGTGTGGTAAGAGAGGCTGTAACAGCGCGGGCTGCCTGTGGGTCAACTGGCCACATAAAGTATATTATATACCAATGCATAAACAGGTTTTCCCAGGAGACTAGAAAGTGTGTCTTTATCTACTTTAGTTAAAATTGAAGGTGGATTTGGATAACCTGACCACTGAATGATGTCATTATTCTTTTATTGTAGACAAGGCATTCAATTAATAAGGTTTTAGATGCTGAAAACTGCCACCTTTACCATAAGGTTTGTATAGCAGTCTTGAATAATGACAGCTTGTTCATTAATTAATGTAAGTCAAACATAAATTCATCACCAATAGATGAGCTTGGGTGCTAGTGCTTACAAGGTTGGTGGAGCCAGGCAATGCTCTAGCACAATGAATGTGGTATCCATGGCAACCCTGTGAGTGGTCTCTGCCAGGCACTGTCACACTTAACTGTTCAGTGGAATACTTAGCAAAGACACATTCAAAGAACTGCAAGCAAGCAGCTTTGTATATGTTGTAGTTAATTTTTTATTTCAGGTAATTTTTATTTTTCCATTGTTTTTGGGTATGGTAATGTATGCTAATGAATTTAAAACAAAGGGAAAACAAAAATTACCTGATATAAAAAATTAACTGCAACATATACAAGTCGCAAGGTGCCCTTGCGAGAAGCATTGGGCTGCTCCTAGCATAGTTGAGAAAACTGCTGACCAGCATTGGTTTGAGGTTAACTTTGCCTAAATTACATCTAACCACATTTAAATCAGTGTAGTGCTAAATTTCTGTTTATTGTTCTCAGCTTGGACTCCATTGGCGTCTAAACAAACAGCGATGTAATTCCAGTAACATGATGGAATATGTAAGTTCTGTTCATTGGAGCTGTTTCTCACAGTGAATGTGTTAGTCTAGAAGTTAGCTAGAAACCTTACAGGCTGGTAATCTGTTGTAACAAATAACTTCCAACAGTTTCTAGAATTTCTAAAAAGTTCACCATGCTACAATGATGCTCTGTTAGGGTAAAATTCCAATGAGTGAAATGGCCCTGAAACAGCGACATAAGACAGATGAAATGATGACATTGAATGACGTAAAGATGGGTTAAATACCAACAGGGACATTGCCTTCTACTCATATTGCGAAACAACCATATTTGAAATCCAGACCAGGGAAATACGTAGTGTCCTAAGAGGACCTCTGCAATGTTTACTAAAATTTAATATTTCCAAATTCATATTTGTAGGTTTTGCTAGTAGAATTCTTGCCAAAGGAACAAATTTTAAAACCAGACTGATGACTGATGTTGTCCTGTGATCACAAGAGCTCTCCTGGATTGTGAATATAAAATTATTGTATTATTGTATATTTCTTAACATAATTTGTATTAATAAGACAGTAAATAGAAAACAACTGTGTAACATACACTGTGAAAAAAATCCAAATATCAGATATACTCTACAAGTCCTGCATGTTTTGTAACAAGTCTTGTCAGGTTGTATTGCAAGCAAGATTTTAGCTTCACTCCATTGCACAGTGATATGAATTCCAGATTATTTTTGATACCAAAACAAATTCAATAATTTAGCTGACACTGAAAACTGTATGTACTTTCTCAGTTCAACAAACAAAATGAAGTGCCAACACCTAAGGAGAAATGAATTGAATTGAGCAATTTTTTATTTGTTGTTGTGTTTTCTATAGTTTGGTTTGTTGGTACTGGTAAATGGTGTTTTCTGTGTTCAAGGCCTTCCAACCAAAACATGCAAGGTTTCATGTCTTGTAGCATATTAAGTTATTGATAATGATTTTTGAAGTTAATAATTCAGCTATAATTTTTATATTTTAAGATAACAAATGGAGCAGAGAGAATTTCAATTACCAGTTTTATTGAAGTCGTTATTTTTTTCCTTTCTCTTTTGACATATTGTTATGATTTAAACCCTCTTTGGGTCTGAGTGACATTATTAATTTGTTGTAATAACCAGGGCCAAGTTGTTTGAAGTTCAACGAGCTCTAATGCTGGGTTAACTTGTTCTACTTGTCCTTTGAACAAACTGAGTGCTGCTGACCCACTTTGTCAACCATTTAGCTCCATCTGAGGGTCTCAATGGGGTTAACCGTTAGGCGTCAACCGCCCTAAAATTCAACTGTCAACTGTCCAAAAAGGTTATTTTCACCGTCAACTGTCAAAAATGCAGATTAATATTAAGTTTTAAGGTATTTCAAATCTTATTATTTCAGCTGATCTTCACGGACTTTTGGCTCTCTCCACTCTCTCTCGAGACATTACAAGACCTTACAACTTGCTTATATCTGAAAATGTTTCAAAATTTTACATGTGAAAGGCCAAGACAACCTCAAATACCCAGCAGTTACTATTAATTTATACAGGAGTTAATATTTCCTTTAACTCTTGGACAAAATTTCTACCACATAACCGTCAACTGTCAAAAGCTTTTAAATTTAACCATCAAAATGGAAAAAAAAAAAATTCTTCCTTTTTATTGGCTGAAAGTCCACCATGTGACCTGCAAAGAACTGACTTCTAATAATGGTCTGCTCATGGGCAATGTTGTCCAACTGTGTTTGGCTGCAAATAATATTCTGCTCATGCATAAATATAACCACACTTTTCTCCTTCTTGCAATCACTGTTGCTTGAAAAATGGCATATCGCTTCGCTAATGAAGATATTCATTAAAAAAGTGATTTGGTGATTGAATGGTAAAACAATTATTTAACTTGGTTATCGCAAAATATCGTGATTTGTCAGTGTGTCGTAGATATTTGCTTCATCCTTTGGCCTTTATCCTTTCTTCTCAGCATGTCTGCCAAATCATGATATTTTGTCCAACCTTGTCCATGAATTGTTAAAAGCTACAACTCCATTGAAACCCTCCCATCTAGTACAGTAATTTACCAATGTCATAGATACTCTTCCCATGTAACGTTAAGCATCTCCCTTACCAAAGTTAGATGAGAAAAAGGGATTTAATGAATCGTTTTTTTAAAATGACGACATTAAATTTGGATATCAAGGTTGTTTTTAGTTTATAAGGCCTAAACATGTGTCCACTTTTTTTTGCTCATTTTTGCTTGTTATCAGTAATTGAAGTATATTTACTTGTGATTTTGATAAATTGATTGTGTATAATATGTTGTCCTGTTTCTCTGTGAATTAGTAAATTGAGGCTCACATTAATTCTTTAAGATAACAGTTTATTTATTTATATTATTTTGCATTGTTAAAATAGTAATAGAATTATTTTTATTGTTGTTGTATTTGTCAGTGTCCCACGACACATTATCATTGAATCTTGCCTTCAAAACTCTCTTTAAAATGATGGTTACACTATGAGACTTATTTGCTTGTTGATGTTAGGAGTTGTAGGGGTTGAAATATTTTTTTGTGTTCCAGCAAAGGTTTACCTCATGTAAGGGAATCCAAGACAGTCTTGGATTCTGGATTCCACACTGTGGATTCCAGTCTTTGTCAGTGGAACTTGGATTCTGGATTCCACTTGTTAGTGGGATTCCGGATTCCTGGAGCTGTATTCTGGATTCCAAACTCCAGGATTCCGCATTCCACAAGCAAACTTTCCCCCGATTCCGGATTCCAGAAGCAAAAATTTCCCAGATTCCTGAATCAGAATTCCCTTACAGAAGGTGAAAAGGTTCTGTTTCTGTTAGTGCATTTATTGAGGTCTAAAACATAAGGTATCGCCAAAGGCAATAAACTTGCCATGAACATGTAAATCAAATTTCCTGGGGCAAGATGTCTTTTCACATATTTCTTAAGTATTTTTTTTCCTTTTTAAGAACATTCACCCGTGAAGGCACACGTGCTGGCATGTGTTAACCGGTGCAGGCACCAAATATTAAGATAATAGTATGTTATTTTTAATTATTAGACTCTATTGCTTTCCTGGTTAAGGGTTTACTATTGGTATATGGCTGGTGTAATAGTCAACATTTTTCTGGTGCTAGTTTTAATAAAGTGGTGAAAATGACGAAATCATTGTTGTGTAGTTATGAAAATAGATAGTGACGACCTTTGCTTGGTCTGTACGTTTGAAACGGGGGCTTGTAGATGGAATGTAATGGACGTCTGAAAATTAGATTTCACTCGTTGCACTCAATACCCTTATTCCTCACATAAAATGCAAATACATAACCCCTCTTACATTTGAAAAGACCTCGATAAAAGCTAGCCCTCTTGGATTTTATGCAGGGTAAGCAAACTTAATACTTAGGAACAATAATATTCTTGCAAGAACCACTTGGACAAACCAGCAGCGAAGTGAAACGGGATCAGGATCAGCAATAGAATAGAGCTAAAAATTAAAGGCCATAGAGAGCGGACTGCTTTGGATGGGTAATTTACTCGCCCCTTGCTCAGGCCATCCCCATAAAATGTTTCGTTTCCCATCGCCCGACCGACCCATTTTTTTGGAAAAGTAAAAAAAAAAAAAATTCCGGAATCACTTGCAAGTACTTTAATTTACCAGCACACGATCTTGTCTTATTAACACCAATTGTCTTAAATTATCATCGATACTTCGTTTTTGTAGCCTTTTTAGACATTTGATAGTCCTGTTAATATACATCTTTTACCATCTGATTATATCTTGCAAACTAAACGTGAGATTTAATATGCAATCATCTGTTCATTCTTTTTTTCTTTTCTTTTGCCCGACCGAGCGACCCACTGTCACGAGAGGGAAGAGAGGGAGGGCGATGGCCGGGAAACGAAAAACATTTATGGGGATGGCCTTACATCTTTACAGCCTGGCCACTGATACTGCAAATATTTTTAGCTCAAGGTTTCATGCTGTTTTTTTCGAGAGGATATCTCTCTCAGCTACAGATATCATTCAATTTTAATCAGAAAATCAGAGGAAAGGTATATATTGGACACTAAAGCACAAGGCCATCAATCCTGGAAAGTACCACCGTGAGGCGTGAGCGGACTGGGAACCAAAACTTTCCCGCCAAATACGCGCCAAGTGCATTGTTGTTCAATTTACAAAATGGCGGACGAAATTCAGCAACCAGCGAAGAAGCGCAGGAAGACAGAAAAAACAGGATCCGATCTTGATGATAAGCTTGAATCAAAGAAGCAGTCTGCAAAGAAATCGGGTAAGATTGAGAAATTAAACTCACTATACACGATTTTTTGGCCAGGTTCACAGCAGTTTAGCTATAAAAGTTGCATCTTAAAACTGTTTCTGCAGGTAAAGATGTGAATAGTCGCAACGACCTTAAAGAAAAGATGAGGGAAACATTCAAAGTTGAACTTCCCTCCGATTTTTTCGATTTTTGGGATTTTTGCAAAAATCTGAAAGATGGAAATCCATGTGGTAAGTCTGCTTTCAGTATCTACACCCCTTGCATCTATCTATGACTAAGAACTTAAACTAAAGCTTAAGTAAAAGTCGATAGTTAAGTAATAAAATTAACTTTGCACTCTAAAATTAACAATGATAGCAATAATAATGATAATGATAACAATGATAATGATAAATGATGATGATAGTGTTACAGTCAAAGCATGTCAAGCGTTCCTGTTGCTGGTGGACTAATCAATTAAATTCATGAATAGATTCGGTTTGTTGATTCAATAATTCATTCAATCGTATTTCCTTCCCTTTCCTGCCCTGATGTATGCTCGGTTGTATCTTGAAAGCCTTATTCACTTAGTGAATGCACTCTTTTCTTTAAGCTGCAAGCAAAAGCTGTTCATAGCTGGAACCTTACTAATTTGTCTCATGTTTGTCATTGTATATTTCTTACCATTGGACAGATTGGTCCCTGTTTTTAAGGCCCTATTCATCGCTAGACCTTAATCATGATAAGGCTTGGTAGTTCATGGTACAACTGTGTATACTGGTCAAACTTTGAGACACTGTCTGCCTGTAAAAGTTCTGCTATGCCACACCTGGTCATTATTCAGCTAGCTCGCATGAAAGCAAACAGTTATGGTAATTTTGTCACCTGCCCTCCCTCCCTTTGGAGGAGTTGTGTTCTGTTATGTATCAATAAAAGTTTGTTGGGTCACTTCTTGCAATGCAGTTAAGTGTACGTTGGGACTTCCCGCAAACTTTAGGCATTGCTTGTGTCTTGCCATCTTCTTCCTTAGCCTTAATCTTGTCTGATCCAGCCCGTACAGTGCTGGGGAGATAAGAAAGGCTCTGCCAATACTCTTGTCTGATATCCACGGTAGTGGGGTGATAAGTGAGGCTTGCGTTATTTTGTGCGCATAACCCAAAGTTTCATAACCTGCCACAGGGCTTTGTCCCTCCTCCCCCCCTTATTAAGCCATCTTGTAGTTGTTGTTCATTTAGCCTGCATGTGTTATTTAGTTGCGTGACTTTTTCATGCGTATCTTAAGCAGAATAGTGACAGTAATCAATCTAAAGCCAAACCCAGCTTTATTATGGACACCTCATTATTACAGACAGTTTGCTTTATCCCTTGGGAAAGAAAGCCATAACATTTTCTCGAAATTCAACCTGCTTAATACAGACACCCCGTTGATATGCACATTTTGTATGGCTCCATCAGTGTCCGTAATAATGGGGTTGACTGTTATTTATATTCTGTTTCGATCATTTGTAGATGCTTTGAAAGAATCTCTTGGGTTACAGCTGGCTGGACCATATGATATTTTGTCAGGATCCTTTGATGATGTGAAAGAGTCAGATATGATATCATATCACCTTCATTATAGATATTACTATGATCCTCCAGAATTTTTGACTGTTATAAGAGGTGATGACAAGACAGGTTTTCATGTGGGATACTATAGGTAAAACTGGCTAATAGACAACACGTTTCTTCTGCCTGTCTTTATGTTCCCAGTATTTAAAACACTTCACCTGATTTAAACTGAATGGCAACTCAATGTAAGTTTTTGGTTTTTTAGAGATGATCCAAGAGTTCTTCCAGTGTTCGTAGCATCTAACCAGGCTGAGAAGGGTTGTGAATTTTCTGTCCTTGGTGAAAACCTCTTTGCAGCAATCAAGTAAGCATTACTTTATAAATTTAGTTCTCTTTGTGATGATTATAGGTGACTTGCTTCAGTCATGACCCTGCTTGTTTCAACTCCCAATAATATTTTATCTATTTTTAAAGTTTCTTCAGGAATGTATTATTCAAGTAGAGGCTACATTCCTTTTACGTATTAGCATGTGGAATGTAAATGAGGATTTCAACTGCTTGAAACACAAATTGTTTCAGGAAACTAAGGCCCGGTTCAGACGCCGAACTTTTCATGAGCCGAACCTAATTCGAATTAAGGCCGACCCAAATTATTTAGACCAGCTAAAGTGATTCAGACGCCGATCTTAATTCCAGCTGAACTAAATTCAGAAGGCAAAAAATGCGCATTTCAGTCAAACTGCTTACAAAATACTTTATAAGAATTTCTGTATTTGGTTCGGTACATGAAAAGTTCGGCGTCTGAATCAAAGGCGTTCCAAAGTCGATCCAAAGGCAAAATTCCCGGCCGGGCTAGGCGAAAAGAACGGCTGAGCCATTCCAAATTGAAACAGGCGTTCCTAATTGATTCAGACGCCGAACTTTTCATGTACTTAATTCGATGTATTAGGTTCGGCTCATGAAAAGTACGGCGTCTGAACCGGGCCTAATCTTGAAAGAGGTTTACATATATGTTATACAGAACTGTAGATTTACTTTTTGCATGCATAGTAATGCTTCTTGTTCCTATCCCCAATCTTACTGACTTTATTAGTATTGTCTCGTTGTCTTAGCAAATTTATTGCTGACTTTATGAAGACCTCAAGTGGTAAATCCAAGCAAAAATCATTGAAGACACTTCAGACATCACTTGTTTCTGAAGCAAAGAAACTGAAATACAATCTTGAGACAAGCACATCAGCCATCAAAGCTAGAAACAAGACAGTTGTGAGTAAGACTTTTCACAAAGCTGGAATTGTTGTCCCAGTCATAAATGAAGTTGGGTACCGGCCTCTTACCATGACTGACGGTGAGTTGGAGGTAGTCATATTCTGACTGAAAAGTATTAAATTTAACATCTTCATACTTTGGACAATTTTTATTGCTTTAATTTTTTCTTTTTTAAATCACGAACTCAGGTACATATCTACATACAAATTCTCCTGTCATCAAGAGTAAAGGTTATGAGAATTACCAAAGGTAGATCGCTTTGATCTTACACCAAATTCTCTCAACTATTCTTAAAAAAAATGTATGGAGATCAGTCTGGAGAATTTGAATGTGGATCTTGGCCCTTGAAGGGGTAATTCTTGTAACTTGTTACCTGAAAAGTGTTGTTTGGATGTAAAGATAGGAATATTAACCCATTAAGCCCCAATATCCACATACAAATTCTCCAAACTGATCGCCATACATTTCCTTAAATAATTAGTCGAGAGAATTTGATAAAAGATCAAAGATTTTTCTCTTGGTGATCATTTTATTAATTGTGATAGACTTTGCTCTTGACAATCTATGGATATTGTTAGGAGAAAATTGATTTTGGACACTACTGGGGCATAAAGGGTTAAGGATAGGACAATAAATCAATCACTGTTGAATCCTGTAGTTGATTATTTCTTAAATTTTATTGAACTGTAGGTGAACTGAAGAAAATCCTGAAGCAAATAACAGAAGGTAAGAATGAGAAAGATCAAGAAAAGGCATCTGAGGATCTCCAGGAAATAATGACGCTAGTTCAGTTTGCTAATGATGAGTGTGATTATGGAATGGGACTTGAGTTAGGATTGGATCTGTTCTGTTTTGGAAGTGAGCGTTTTCATAATGCCATTCTTCAACTTATGCCACTTGCCTACAGGCTTCTTAGCAGGGACACATTTGCAGAGATTGTAGAAGTTCATATAAATAACCGAACTAGGGCTTCGCTGAGCCAGCTCCCATCTTAATATGACAAAAGTTAACACAGTGTAGTCAGACGTCTTATCGAAGTGCTCTTACGAAAGACTTTGACAGGAAGGCCAGTTGACAATTTATCTTAAAACCAAATGCACATCTTCTGTGGGTAGATATTAGTCTTTTTATGTCAGGTAACAAGCTGGTTTCAATTTTGCTCACGTTTGTTAGCTGCATAGAATTGGCAAGTATTTTGTACAACTTGTCACTGATTTAGGCAAGTTCTGAGACTCAAGTAGGAAAAGTAGTGAAGACTAACTGGAAATGAGTTTCCTTCTAATGCGCATGCTTCAAAGCGTGGCCAGAAAAATATCTTATGAGCTGCTGTAATAGCTGTACCCCTCAAAAGGAATGAAGGGTTGTTGACGCACTTGAATTCGAGAGTGGTGGTTATTTAATTGGTTGTCGAGTACTTTTTGACTGTTTTGTTATTATTTTTGGTTACCTAAGCCAAAAATATTGTGTTCTTAAAATTGTTATAGGAAGTTGCGTGTCAAAAAAATTCACCACGAGCTGCGGCGCTCGGGGCGCTCATTGGAGTAAATATCGTATCTTTTTGTTAGTATTTTCCTGGTGCGGTAATCATAGAACTGTAGCGGAATAATGTGCTTAACGTTTCCAGCCGCCTCAACCCCCTTTCCTTTGAAACTATTTCCACTGGACTAATTTGCTGGACTTTCACGAGACCATAATCCTATAGCAACATTTTTTGCCTAAAACCTGTGAAGTTGCAGTGGATGGAGGAAGAAGATTACCCGGTTGCCTACGTAAATCTTGGACCCATTCACGTCTCACCTGTGCAAGCGTTGGAGGTTTCTTCGTACCTCCCAAGTTTTGCATCAAACTCATCCGTCATCGAAAAATGTGATGACTTGACCTCTGGTACGGCGTTTCGGGTCAATCCCTCAAATTTTACGAGTCTACTAAGCCGCTCATATCAGACTCTCAACACTTAGAGCTCTTTCAGGTGTTTGAGAAATTGAGCTAGTTCGTGGTGTTTTTCCACACGCAGCTTTAACGTGAGGAACAGTGTATTTACACTGCTTAAATGTTAACGAGAGCGCATATACGATGAACAGTTATTAATGAATTGCCGTTACTCAATTGCAACAGTGTAGAGAGTACAACCTGTTGCCTCGTGATTCTCCCTTGGGGCTTTTTCCTTTAGCACTTGCATAAGAACCGTGGAAAATCATATTAAACTTTCCATCTTAACAGCCTAGTGACAATCAGAAGGTCCCTGCCATAAATTTTTTTAAATGTGAAGCGGATGACATAGGTAAACAGACACCTAGCCTGCACCCTCGCCGCCACCCGCCCCGCCCCTCCCCGCCTTCATCCCCTCTTTGCAGTTTTAACCACTGGTACATGCAAAGACCTACGGGTGTAAACTTACGTCAAATTGGATCTACTTTGTTAACTCCTTTCGCCTATGAGTCGTTTCGCTAACGTCCCGTTTACTTAGGTAACGTCTTATGTCGTTTTGCTTAAGAAACGAAGCGAGCGCTGCGCATGTATATACCTCGTTCTCTCAGCTATGACACGAAAAAGTGCGATACACGCGTATATACATTGTTCTTTTACCCAACACGTAAGCGAAACGAAGTAAGACGTTAGCGAACAGGACTGCGAAACGACCGTAAACCATCTTAACTTCCATGTCTGTCTCTTCAAAAGGTGGAGGAGTTGACGTAAGCCAAGTGGACGGATATTTCAGTCGCTTTGTAATTAATAGTTATGAATTCATTCATCATAGTATACGGTATGCGACGCAAACCTTCGATTGGCGTCTCTCAGACTGGCCCTGTCCGAGTGTTTGTTGAGATAAAATTGTGACAATGAGAATTGTCAGATCGATGATAACCTCTTAAAAAAAAGCTTTGCAACTGAGCAAAGTATTTCGCAACCACTTTGTATAGACGATAGTCGTTCAATTTCCGACTAGCAACAGAAAACACTAATCCATCTGTGTTACTCAGAGATCAACTGTATCATCTTGATAACGGGTTATTTAACTTACTGGATTATATCCTTCTTAATGAACAACCGAGAAAGATCCATCATTTAAACGGGTTCGGCCGACCTTCCAGTTTCTTCGGACACAGGTGCAATTTCAAAATTGTAAGACAACTTCCTTAAAGGAATCTTTATCCTGTCAGATGAGGTGTGGGGCGAGGTGGAGAGAAGGTTAAAAAGCAAAATCAGATTGTTTGGCCCTTAAGAGTGATTGAAGAGTGTTGTAAATTGGTTCTAACTTTTGAGTCCGTAGACGAAACTCTTTGGCCATTTAAATTAAACCTCTTCTGAGCAGTACCTTTCTCATGGTACCATTTGTTAAATATGTAGTTCTAACTTTTGAGTCTGTGGATGAAATCCTATGATGTTACCATTCAAATGAAACTTTTTCAGCAGTACTTTCACGTGGTACTATTTGTTTAGTATGTAGTTCTAACTTTTGAGTCCGTGAACGAAACCTTTTGATGTGACTACTTAAATGAAACCTCTTTGGCTGCACTTTCACATGGTACCATTCGTTTTTCAGCGTTTTAAAAAATGAAATTTGAATTTTTTTTGTCCAATTTTGACTTCGGCTGCTGCACTTGAGGGTGAAAGGGTTAAGTGCATCCTTTTTCACCTGTCCACGGTAGGTCTAGTCTCTGCTTCTTTATTATACAGAGACTTGTTCACTCATCGCTATACGAGTGTTATTATTTTTTTTCAAGTTTCTGGGTTATTTCGATGTAGTTAAAATTAAATTTCGACCCTGGTGGACAGAGAGCCTCCAGTGGCTCAATGGCGAGAGCACAGGAACTAGAACTCGGAGGGTCGTGAATTTGATTCTCACCTGGGGCTCGGAGTTTTTCTGAGCTTTCTTGTGTACAATTCTCCTTTCTTCCAAATTTGGATAAGTGAACGCCGAGTTCTCTACGTCTTTTTCAGCGGGATTTAGGGGTGTCGATAGCGCAACTGAGTAAGAAAAAACGAGGAAATAAACCAAGGAAGGGAAAACAAAATTGCGTCCTTGAACGCTTCGAAAAGGTCATATATTTGGCTTGAAAGGCTGTCTAGAACGAAAAACGAAACTCATGTCACTCAAACGCATAAAAACTCTTTAAACTTCGCGCTAAACCCCTTTTACAACTTAAAATATATGCTAAAAGATACACAAAATTCGTTACCACACATTCCTTGTTTTTAATGTTACTTTTGAGAACAAGTGATATAAAACAAGATTAAAAAATAATATCACAGCCATCTGTAGGTGTGTCTAAAATAGATGTCACCCTCCCTCCGCTGTTTTCTGTTGAAAAAAAAGGTAAGAAGTTCTTCCTCTGTTGAATGACGTCCAAACGAAGGCCTCGAATTCCGGAAGAAGGTCGGGCGGAAGTCGTTTGTTAACTAATGTTTTTTGCATTATTCTTTTTTAATTGTATTTTCATTAACGTCAAGCAAAAATAGAACAGTGATAGTTTAGGTTTTAGCAGTAAAGTGAAATCGGCAAGTCTCAAGATTGGTTATGATAACCTTGGTTTCTTTTTTTGCTTACTTTCGATCAAGTGTTCTTTTTTTGGGGAAACGCGAACGTCCCATCCCAAAGAAAAAGGGCAGAAGGACCTGCTGATCGTAGCAGGTCATTCCTTTTCAAACAGTTGTATAAAAAATAACCATTTACTGCTGCTAATACTTAAGGAAGTCCACACTTAATTAATGCAGACAGTATAAGTTTATTCAGCATAGTTTTCTTTAACTCTCGAGCTGTTACCTCATTTTGTTACTAATGAATAAAAAATGTTAAATAACACGTTGCAGTGAAGAAAGTAAGAGCTCTCCTTTCTGAAGGTCTGCCGCCCCTGGGTGCTGAAAAGTAAGTCTAGAATAAAATTTTCGGTCATCTGGTCATTGTTCAACAATTAATTTCCATCTTATTCATTTTCAGTCAATTAATTAAGCTATCAGTTAATTTTGGCAGGCTTCAGATAGAAGCCGCAACAGTTAAAAAACGCCACATCACTCTGCCGACAGTTAAAATTTCATTTAATTTTTCATCTGTTAATTAAACCACTCCCATACGGGCTATTTTAAGTTGATGAAACCGAGAGTTTCATCTTCAAGGAATACTGGAAAATTTGAGTAAATAAAACCTATATCGCGCGATAATATTGCATATATACTAGTATACCAGTAAGATATGTTGATTGTAGCCAGAAACTTATGATTTTCTGTTGTAGCTTAACGCGTGCAGTGTTTTTAAAATACTGCATAAAGTTCATATTATGTTGATTTTTAAAACAGCGTGTTCATTCTTGATATTCATAACAGAAAGACCCTTAATTATTTTTTTCTCGTCTTCTAAATTAGATTTGTGTTCCTAAGCTTGTTGACAAAGTATGCAAAACGAAAGAGACACGTATAATAAAGGAAATGTAAATATTAATTCCCAAACTCAAGCAATAATATAAGTTGCTAACTCCGTTAAACTTTTAAACAATCTGCCGATCCAGTTTGTTTATTCCACTGACCACATTTGAAGTGTCGCCTCTTTCAATTAATCAGTTTGCGTCAGTCAGTCCTGACTTACTTTGTTGCTGCAGTCTTATTTGACGTTTTAGGATGCTCTAATTTTTCGTTAAGGCAATCTTTAAGGTTAAATAAATTCGTGAGAACGTTGGAGAAAAGTCTGTTAGTCATTCGTGAACTCGTTTTAGGGAAACGAGGTTGTCGAGGTTGTAATAATTAAAAGTACCTATCAAGTTGAATACCACAACTTGTAGTAGCGAGAAAGAACTGTGAAAATCTTCGCAATTTAAACAATGATTTCTATAACCGTAAAAGAAACTGTGAATCGCTTAAATTTGGGACCAAATAGTCAGAGTTCTATACAAACATAACTCAGGTTATTCAAATCATTGCAAATGACCCTCTCTGTGACGGGTGAAGGTCGTCAGTGTTTTAAAAGGATTTTTAAAAAGGATAAATAAACTATACAGAACTA